GCTCCAGCTGAAACGCACCAATTCCTGTCACAATGAAACGGTCTTTGAGTGTCTCGCCTTTAGTTGAGGCGCACAGCTTCATATTGTTGTCCTTTCCCTGGACTAAGCTTCTAGCTACAAAGAGACCTTTGCTACGCCAATATTTATTTGGCTCAATTATACCATTCTGAGAAGAGATAGGGTTGTCGACCTTGCATTCAACTAGCATTTCTGAATTCCCAGGTACAGTCACTGTTTCAAGCACTCTTATTCTTGAACAACTGTGCGTTTTCTGCTTGGTAAGTGATAGTTCACCCTGTGAGGTACCTAGAACTTTCCTCTTTACATCCACTACCCCATCATACTGCTCCAGGAAATCCATTCCAACAATACTGCTAAGTGATCCAAGATCTGCTACTACAAAGTTTTGCTCAAATTCCACACAATCAATCACAAACTTCAACCCAACAGAACCATGTCCCACCATGGGGGTATCATTTGCTGTATGAAAATCCTTGTTGACTACCTCCAAAGGTGTTCCTTCCAAACCAAGCATACAGAAATCATCATGTGACATAATGGAAACTGGGGACCCTGTATCAACAAGAACTCTAAAGTTTCCTCCTTCAACTTTAGCATGCGCATAGAGACACTTTTCAGGTGTTGAAGTGCCCAAAAGTATTTTCTCTCTGGATGCAGACTGCTCATTCTGTATTAACAAGGTATCATTCTCAATGTTATCTCTATTTGTCGGAACTGGCCTATCTAACTGAGCTGAAATAGCGGCCTCAATCTCAGCATCTACTAGTTTCCCGACCTATTTCCAGACTTATCAGCACTTGTTGGTAATCCTAACTTTTCAAGATATGGACAAGAATTTCTCAGATGACCTTTGTCATGACAAACATAGCAACGAGGGGGTTCCCTTCTCTGACTTTCTTTTTTGAAAAGATCCAACTTTTTGTCGATCAACTTTCCTATAGCCTCTAGAGTTAAGGGTTCCTTGTCGTTACTCTGAGTTTCAATCCTAGCTTCAGATGTGTGACCAACAACCCCTACTCTATCATAATTCTCTGGTTTTCTTGCTCGACTACCTTCTATGGCTTCATATTCAACAGCATGGGACATTGCTTCATCAAGCGTGATAGGATGTGAGAAGGACACATGTTTTCTCATATTAAAACTAGTCAAACCATTCAAAAACTGGTCAATCAGATTAGGTTCTAAGGATGTGTAAGAAGCCTCAGGATAAGCAAGCAAACCTAAACGTCGGAGCTTGTACCCAAATTCAGTTATGGACTCACCCTTTCCTTGTTTTCTGTTTCTAAATTCTGATCTGAAGGCTAAACTTCTACCTCTAGGATTAAACCTTTGACCTAAAACATTCTTGACTGCATTGTAATCATTCAACTCTCCAATTGTAAGATTACTAAACAACATTTGAGCAGTACCCCTTAAACACATTGTTAGCTGTTGTGCCTTCTCTACATTTGTCCATTTGTTCCATGCAGAGACCTGTTCAAAATGAACTATGAAGTCCTGCCAATCACAGGATGCACCGTCAAAATAATCTGGACGTACAGTCGAACGAGAAGACCTAGCAAGTGAACTATGTGTGAGCATGGTTTCGCTGGGATCGCTAACATAGGTACGATTTAAGGTATCATCTGCAGTTAAGCCTTCAGGGAAATACGCTGTTCTGGATAGAAACCTGCTGTTCCCTACACTAGAACCATCATCAACTTGACTTCAAAATCGAACAGACGGGTTTCCGGTTCCTGTTCGATTCAAGTTCAACCCGTCAACTTCCCTATCTGTCAACACCCTATCTACAACTCTATGGGCACGCAGGGGTTGAAATGGAACTGAGTGGACAGTTCGCAAATCACCTGCAGATGTCCTGGAGTTCTGTTGCAGCCTTTCCTCCATCTCTACTCCAAACCCAAGTATACTATTTCTATTGGACGAAGAGACAAAAGGTGTAGATGTCAAGAAGCTGGACTGAGCTCTTAAACCAACATCGGACCCAACAAACCCATTGATACCACTATCAGACAAGGCCAGTAACTCTTCTTGACTTAACACATCCATATCAAACAACTATCCGACACAACAATGAAACTGAATAAAATTAAATTCCTACCAGCAATGAGAAACCTAATCCTGGTCACAGCACCAAATCTGTAATAGGCTTCTCTGCCCAGTGACAGTTGAAGTTGGCTATAATAGGGTTTAGGACCTTTACTTTTTTATGTGGTGATGGTAAAGTAGCCAACTTCAAATAGGCTCTATGGATCAGGCCTCATTGCTGGTAAAAACATAACAAATAGAAAAGAGAAACTCAATAATTTATTTACAAAACCTAAACCTATCCTAACCTAACAACCTAACCTAATCTTTACCTTAACAATCGAACCTAACCCCAAACCCTAATGAGACATGGCTCTGATTTCAGTCCCTATGTCCAAAACAAATAAATATCTTAATTTCCTATGTAACAAAAAAACCCTATATACTTGGTCTGGATAACCAGGACTCAAGCAACTGAAATAAATGTCCTCACCTCTGGTGAACCAGTGGACTAAAGACAAGGAGTGCTGTGAAGCTACTCCCTTTATAGGGCTAGAGGCAGGCAGTGCATGTGCTGCACATGCCAGGCACAACCTGCCAGGTGTGTTGTGGCTATGCATATCAGCATAGCGGAGAACACACTAATAACCCATGTTATATTTACCCAACCCCAAATAAAACTCGAACTTTACCCGAAATATCCTGAACTACCACAAGTGTTTAAATCCGGTTGAAGCGTGCCACTTCCTCTCCTTATGGCTTGGTTTTAAAATGTTTCAGCTTAAGTTGAGACACTTCACTGAGACGGTGTATATTTGTAATCTTTAAGCAATGATTTTTTTCAATTTCTCGGTTGATATGGCCTCTAAATATGAGTGACTTTGATTTAATGTAAACATGCCCTAAACCATTATGGGTTAAACCAAGACGACCAACGTGCCTGGACATGGGTTTCACCCCAGTTTATACGTCACCATACCACACGTGGTCTCCGACAAGACGTTTAACCCCATTTAACCTCAGCATCTCACACGTGGTCTCCAACAAGACGCTTAACCCAGTTTTGACATCACTTTCTCTCATGTGGTCTCCGACAAGACGCTTAACCCAGTTTTTACGTCACCATCTCACATGTGGTCTCCGACAAGACGCTTCCCCTAGTTTATAAATACGTCACAATACCATTCGTGACCAACTCGTGTTATTCCGGGACAAGCCGATTGGAGGTTACGGAAAGGGGCGAGTGGTGACGAATGGTCACAATACCACATGTAGTCTCCGACAAGACGTTTAACCTCATTTCATGTCACCATCTCACCCGTGGTCTCCAACAAAAAAAGTGTTTTGATCATGCCTTGTCACAAACTTTGTGCACGTGTTTCCAAAACACCAAAGATATCGTACCCAATTACAACATTGCTAGCAAAATATTTATGTTTTGTATTTTTTAAACAGTCCTAAAACACCAGGTGTGTACTTTCTTATGTACTTCAGTATAGATTTATTTCATAATGACCAGATAGTTTATTTTATTACATTAAAGCTGCATAAAGACAATAAACGAAACACGCTCCCTAAGGGGGACAGCTAAAACAACACCTCAGCACATTTTCAGATAAAATCGGTGATCTATGTTGAGTTGCCGTTTTATAATGCTCCCTTTCTTTAAACTATTCCATGCAGAACATCGTTGTGTGATAGATTATAGCGTCAAGTAGTTTGCCACACAGACACTGAAACAAATATATCCAAGAAAACCTATTCAAGTCTATAATATGTGTCAAGTCTAGATTACTCCAGCTTCATAAAGAAAGTCACTTGGCCTTTTTATTACATGTATATATTATTTATTTCTTATGTAAGAACTGTGCACTGTTTTTTCTGTCCAATATGTTCATTGTAGAGAGCCGATGTGAGTCTAAGGGTCAGGCTATTTGCAATGCAACCGAATGTGCCATTCGTTATGTTTTACGCCGCACTCAGCAGCATTCCGGCTACATGGCGACGGGCTGTAAATAATCGAGTCTGGACCAGACAATCCAGTGATCAACAGCATGAGCATCGATCTTAGCAGTTGGGATACGGTGACATGTGTCAACCAAGTCAGTGAGCCTGATCACGTGATCCCGTTAGTCGCCTCTTACTGCAAGCATGGGTTACTGAAGATCAGTTCTAACCCGGATCTTCACGGGTCCGAATGTTCCAGGAGAAACTGGTTGCTAGAAAGTGTATTGAACAGCACAATACAGTTGAAGACTGACTGACTGACTGACTGACTGAGTTTGGTTTTACTCCGCTTTTAGCAATATTCCAGCAACATCACGGCGGGGAACACCAGAAATGGGCTTCACACATTGAACCCTTGTGGGGATTCGAACCCGGGTCTTCGGCGTGACAAGCCAACGCTTTAACCACTAAGCTACCCCACCGCCCTACAGTTGAAGATAACATGGAGATCACAAACACTGACACCCTGATACCGATCAAATGGAGAACAGTAAAATATTATTGCTTAATTGGGTTAAACATCACAAACACGTACCCCAATTTTAATTAAAAGGTATTTTCGATTGGCATTCAAGAAGTTGATAAAAAAGAAAACATACAAATTTATGATTAAAACCTTTTATTGAATTTAGTAATAAGACAATAAGACAAACGAACTTATCCATTAAGTTCCGTGTTTTCTGATGGTACCGGTTAAGTGTCTGATGACGTTTTCGCTGGATGAGCTTTTAACCGTAACTTATTACGATACAGCTGGACTATTTTGCATAACGATACCAAATTTTATTGTTATCATTATTTTATTTTTAATAAATAAGAAATTAGAAAGCTTCTCATTATCTATAACAATATCATCGATTGAAATGCAATACATGCAATACAAAAGACACCCATGCACTGTTCGTTTCCTTTCAATGACAAGTGCGCGTTTTTTGCACTAACCATGTAAACATGTACCGGTATGTTAGTGAGAGTGATCGAATGTGATTTGGGGCTAAGATTGTAAAGATGGGTCAATAAAGCCTATTGGTTACAGAAAGGTAGGTATGCCCACTAGGTTAAAGGTAAATATGGTATAGCCTTAGCATGATATGGGAGCAGAAAGTGGGAAGAACTAAACCAACGAGCTGTCTGAGTTTCAGCAGAGACCATATAATAATGGTTTCAGGCTACAGTCGGACATTGAGCATCCTGTTATTATGGGCTGGATCTAAGCCCAGAAATGCTTCTGTTTACAATAGTTTTGTCAACAAGAAATAGGGATACATACGTCTTGTGATATATGTATATGGCAGCCGTTTCCGTGTTTTTCATGTTTTTTTTTTTATTTGAAGAAATTTGTTATTTTCCATAATCACATGAGCAAGTGAAAACAATCTCTCTGAGCTATAATTATAGACAACTTAATCTTATAAACAAATCGCGCATTATATTCAGGTCATATTCAGCATCAACATCGCCAGTTCTTGAAACTGACAACCAAATTAAACCGGAGACTGACCTGAGTGACAACCCAAGCTAGCTGTTAGTGAAGTGTGTCTGTGTTTTTGGTTTTTATTAACCTCCTGACATCAATATTTGTTCAAAACGAAAGTTGTTAAAAATAAAGTAATTTACAAAGAGGCCAAACCTAGCTGCATAGGTAACTAGGCCTCGGACGGTTCAAAATTTTCTACCCGGGTACCCCACTCCCTATTAGCCTACCTGGATACCCGTTATGTCAATTCCTGACATCAAATTTGCAAGAAATGGCAATATATTCTTCAACTCGGAGGCTAAAATTTCGAGTTTTACAATATCTTAACCATGTATTATATTCAAAAGTAGTGACTGTAAATTATGTCTGAATCTTCAAAGACAATATAACCTTTTAATCATGAAAGAATAACATGTTATACATTGTTTAATCTATTAGTCACATGATTTTAACGGGTATGGGTATTGAGATGGGTACCCGGGTCAAACTCATTACCCACCCGTCCCGGGTATCCGGGGTTACCCATCCCAGCCCTACAGGTAACTGTTCCTGTTATTCATTAAAACTATGAGAATGTAACTTTGTATTACACCACTGTAATATATATATGTGATACCAATGGGTCTGATAAACAGTTCTTTACAGGTAGCCCATACCTACAGCACATCTGACATACAACTAGTCCCACATAGACTACAAAGCATCAGAGTAAGTTTTTACGTATCGTATCCTCACTTTTTTTCCCCAAATATACCACATTTTATTCATTTTTGTTGATTGTAAGTATTATATTTCATATAATTTTCCACTAACCAGCACCAGTATAGGCTGGGGTTACTACACGGCTAGTGAATGATAGGTTTTATTAGCACACATGAAAAATAAGCGCAAAACCTGAGGTTTGAGAGCTAACTCTCATTCCTCATAACATTGCTAAGGAAACCTGCATTGACGCAGTCAGTTTGAAATCAGAGGCTATATAATAAGGTTATATGGTCTCCTGCTCGTGCTGATTAATGATGTGACATACATTGTCCAGTAGACCTGTACATCAGTAGAACTTTCTACTTGACTGGATGGTCTAGTCATTTCATACATGTACCCCAGGATGTATCCTGGATTCGAAACCAAGTGCCCTGAGATGACAGGGAATTTGGGGAAAAGGTTTTATTGGGAAATCTCAGACCATAATTTACTTTCTTACCTCAGTGATATCTTAATAATGCAACTAGCACGATAAAATATTACTAAGCATTAAAACCATATCCTCTTTCGTAATCCCATTATCAGTAAAATACAAATAATTTAGCCTTAACATAGCCTTATCATTACAAATTGTTACAAAAATATGTTTCCAATATGCTAATTTTTACTCACGGTTGCCAAAGGTCCACATGCCATTTGTTTCTTCAAGCCAAATACCAGTTGAACGGATGTAGATAAATCTCTCTGTACAAACTGATTACCGTATCCAGAACTTCTGTTTGCATCGTGTATACTATGGGTTCCTCTGTTTCAGGATGTTTCTGTGTGCCCACTTTTCACGTGCGTTGGTGAGTCAGCTTCAGGCAAGATGTCATACAACAGCGCCACCCATCATGACAATAAGAGAAGGTACTTGCACATCAGCCATTGTACAATCAGATCACATCCCGGAGCACACCAAAGACTAAAACTTCAGATGTAAAGCAACAGTATATTCTTCGGAGAGAACGTGGCTTCTTCTACACCCCAGTGTCACACACATGGGTGTCTGTTAATAAAGATTGCAAAGAATGAACCTCACAACCTGTAGCCAGTGTCTGGTCTTCTGTTGATGCATACACAGCTCGGTTACAGTACCTCTACATCTCTAATATCCTAAATATCCTTACTGATGCTGCGGTCACCAGAACTTGTACCTCAATCTAATTATGCACGGCAGATATGATAACACAGAACACTGAAAATGTATGGAGTGTGAGCCTCAAGCTGATTGGTTGGAACATGTTGTTAACCTCAGAAATGAACTTTGATGCCATCAAAGTTTTTGGATTTTGTGTATGAATACATGTACCTATCTTGAAAACATTGTAAGAAATGGAACTCAAGATGGGAATGTGTAATATTGCATTTCATTAATATCTATCAGTGAAACTTTGATCAAATTATTTTTAGTGCGTTTCTCTAAACGGGCAGATTAAGTTGCTATGACAGCATATGATGCCATGAGTTGCATCACCATGAAAAGGAAGTCTGCACAATATTGACCAGTCATTAATTGCTGAGCACATTTTCAATGCTAATAAACATCAGCTGAAGTTTGTTAACACCTAAAACGTTCTTTCACTGTTGTTTCCAATTGAAACATCTTGGCATCAAACTCCGCGAAGCAACTACAATTCATATGTTTATTTCTGAATTTTATCAGTGGCTAGAAAGTACACTGTGTTCCAGTAAATGCTAAGTTTATTGGTACTATATAACATTATGGAGTCACACAGTGTCATAGCTATGAATGTACAGTTTGACCTGCCATTGTGTAGTATTGCCTGGCCATCTTATCCCTCATCAAGAGTCTTGGAATTAAACACCCCAAATTTCTCTGTGGTTATTATGGCAAAAAATACTGATTGTCTCCCTTTAGCTATTTGAGTAACTTTAGCCAAATGTGATGCTTAATTTTTCAGCTCGAAGTATTCTCCTGAAGATGGTAGGAACATCAACAGATTATGGGTAGGTAATACAGTAATAGAAGCAATGTATTTTATTACCCAAGTCTGTTGCCAACAGAGATATCCTCTGTGGGATATTTCTTTTACTTATCATTTACTTATAAGCTATTGGTCACTTGACAGAAGTATTCAAATGTTTAACACAAATCATTATAGTTTAAACACATTTTCTGTTATTTCATTGCACCAAAACCAAGGCATAAAATTCAAAATGATTAATAATCAGGTCAGATGTTACCACTGCACAGTAACGTTACGATGTGACATCACTTTTTGACCATGTTTGCCGTATTCTTCTGAAGCTAAAACCTTTGACCACTTCACCATTTGAACAAGACAGGCCTTTCTTTCAACTATGCATTCTGAAAATAAATTAAATCACAGAAACTGAATATTTTAATACTGATTTCTCATTGATATATAATGACATAAAATCACTTGTTTTGACTTATGTTTTTCAAAGTAATCATTCTTGGTTAAAGTTAGAGCTAAAGTTAAAGTTTGGGTTAAAGTTAGCATGTCTGTAGTGCTGGAGTCGCTGTGTGAAATGGGGCCTTGATCAGCTGAAGCGGCCTATTATTCGTTCACACCAGTATTTTAGGATCCCAGGTGCTCATCGATCCTCAGCATTGTGGGCGGTGGGGTACCCTAGTGGTTTAAAGCGTTGGCTCGTCACGCCACATGGGTACAATGTGTGAAGCCCATTTCTGGTGTCCACTGCCGTGATGTTGTTGGAATATTGCTAAAAGCGGCGTAAAACCAAACTCAGTCAATCAGTCAGTCCTCAGCACTGTATTGCTACAACGCTAGACTTGTGACCTACATCACATCAGCAGGTGGCTCTGCTGACTGAGTTTCCTGGTTGCAGTCCACTGTGAGTCCAGTGTATTATCGTAGTTCACTGATGACAGATGTGGCTCATTTCACTCATATCGAACACTGCTTGTACGAGTCCAGCTAGGAATATTTGGTTGCCATGATATAGGTAGAATATTCCTTGCTATGGTGTAAAACAAACAAAAGGCTATATCCTATCCATTATTTTCGACAAAATTAAGACCAAATTCTTCCTTGCAGGCCCAGTTGTGTGCCCACGGTGTCGCGAGTGCGGAAGTCCCAGGATGAGCTGGCGGACCGAGGGATGAAGGACAGCTACTGGGAGGCCATCATCCCCCTGGAGACGGATCTGACAGTGAGGGAACGTTATATCACTTTCCAGAAGGGTATTCGCTTCGGGCGGATAATGGAAGATCTCGATACTCTGGCAGGTTAGGCTCTTAAGGTTGACTCACACTCGTTACCTGTGAAGGTCCGGGTTAGAATATTGATCTTCAGTAACCAATGCTTGTCGTAAGAGGCGACTAATGGGATCGTGTGGTCAGGCTCGCTGACTTGGTTGACACATGTCATTGGTTCCCAATTGTGCAGATTGATGCTCATGCTGTTGATCACTGGATTGTCTGGTCCAGACTCGATTATTTACAAACCGCCGCCATATAGCTGGAATATTGCTGAGTGCGGCATAAAACTAAACTCACTCACTCACTCATGCTTGTCGTAAGAGGCAACTAATGGAATCGGGTGGCTAGACTGGCTGACTTGGTTGAACATGTCATAGCATCCCAAATGCGTAGATCGATGCTTATGCTGTTGATGACTGGATTGTCTGGCCGAGACTTGATTATTTACAGCCCGTCACCAAATAATGGCTGGAATATTGCTGAGTGCGGGGTAAAACTTAACTCACTCACTCACTTACACTGGTCAGCCTGTTGAATCTATGTGCCGAGTTCGAAAGAGTCATATCATCTGAGTGATTGATCAAGTTCAGGTCGCAAATGTATGGAGTTTGTTCTAGCTTTCAGGCAAGTTGGGTGAAGCCTGGCCATTAAAATTACAGTTTTGTGTCACATGATATTTGTTTACACACAAGCGCAAAACATGGCTTCGCAAAGAAAACACGACTTGAGCAGAAACTGAGCAATTTGTGGCCCACAGTCAATGAATGATCATCCAAAAATTCCCGTTTCATGTGAAAAGAATTGCATGTTGCAACTGCCAAACATCAGGGTATGAAACTCCCAAAAATTTCAGCCAGACCAAAGGGCTGTTTAGATGTATAAGTTGCCAGCCCTGACCAAAACATACCTGCCCACAAAATATATTCATATACAATACATGTCTAAATTTTAACCTGACCGTTGGGCAGGTGAATTTGGGAATCGGGCAGTCCGACTGTTTAATGTGTCCGTGTTGAAAATAACCCGTCCCGGACGGTCGGGCAGGTATTTCGAACACTGCAAACATATAAGTTTTATGATACATTATATGGCAATGGCAACATTATAAGTTGTTCACAAGGGGGGCATGGGGCTCAGGGAACATAAACAAACATCGAGGGTACATCAACCCATGCGCCCCGAGGGACCAGTGAACAACGTATTTATCTTACCGAACACCTTAATGTTAATTTTGAATTGTTTGAAGCACGGGTACAAATCGTTTTGTAGCCATCGCTAGATTTTGCTGACAAAAAAACAGATTTAGAGTTATCTCCCTTCCATCAATTTGCATTCGCAAAACATCGGTAATTTCCGTACATCATACGTGATTCAATGTTATTCGAGATAAAGAATTACTACCACGAAGTACAAAATGAGTTGCCATTGACAGCGGGGTACATTGAAATGTACCTCGCTTGTAAGCAGGGTACTTTGAAAATAATAGAAGAGCGCTCATCCAATCAGAAAGCGACATTTATGTGTGAGGTAAGATAAATTACATATGTATCGCAACTCAAACCTAAAGGTCACATGCAACCAAAAAATCAAACATAGTTAAAACACAATTATCACTTATTCATGACACATAATATACATTGCTGATTATGAGCAAACATATAAACAAACTTATAAGCGTACAATCGCAAATCAAAAGTGCAATATTTTGTACTTGGGTTTACTTCCCTAGAAACGAAGCAGCTGGGAAACCGAACCCAGTCAGAGCGGGTTGGTGTGCACTCAAGTGTAACGGCTGGTTCATTTGCCGATGCCCTCACGGCTCATTGTGTGTGTTCATATAGAGATGTTGGGTTTTGTAAATACATGCTCATTGTTTGTGTATAACATTTTGCAATCAACAGACATCATAACATGTCATGTGTACAAGTATCACACCTGCCTGTCTGTGTAATTTCATAATGTGACATAGACCGAACTCGGGCCATAAATCAATACGTTTTGTTTATGGTGTATAGCCTGATTGGTGTTAAGTTCAAATTGCATGTGGCCAGTGATCGAAGTTGTGTATTGAATATTGTCATTAGAAGACAGGCAGGCAGACACATAGGCTGACAAGACATTTAGTTTTGTCTGTAACAACGACATATCTATATCACAGTTAGAAATTCTGTCAACGCTAAATAATGACATTGCTTTTAAGTATCGAACTGAGAAAGTGACTTGGTAAGAAGAACGTGTGGTGAAATAGACAAATGAAGTATATAAACAGTTAAATCGGTAATCTACTGTCATAACATATAAAAAGCTCGCCTGTGAAATATCAACAAAACATTAGAAAAATAGCTTACACCAAAGCCTTCACCAAATATTCACCGCCAGCGAAGGTTTTCCGTCTTGAAATGTCGAACGCCTTACTGGTAGCCACATAGCTGAGTAGATCTAGATCCTAACAAGGTTCTTTAATGGAATGAGTAGATTATTTACTATTTGTTTTGATTAGACTACTCCTGCTCACGACCTTATAATCTGGACAACCCGCTTTCAAGCTGCGGGAACCTATTTCACTGCGCATGTGCCAGGAGCGCAGCTCAGCACAGCGCAGCCCAGCTGTTGAATCCACTTTTTCTCCCCCAAGCGCTGAGGGAAAATTAGTGAATCGTTTGAACTCCGATTTCGCGCGGGTTTTTTTAATTTGCATTTTTGATGATTTGTTTCGGTAAGTTGTGTTTTACGTTGCATGTGACCTCTAAGTATCACAATTTATCGCATAACAAAACACAGCTTTTCCAATCCGCAATTTAAACCTAAATACCGCAATGTCGTGTTTGACAAAAAAAAATTTATCAACCATGGGTTTCTCTGAGCAAGTGTACAGTATTTATTAACTGTAAAGTTCTGTAATTGCAAGAGGGGTGGTGAAAATAGAGAAAATGATTGCTCACTTTGCTGATTCATGTCATAACCCACCGGCTTTGATATAGATGGCATATTGCTCAAGTCTGAGTCACACCAAGGTAGTTCTTAGTACGTCCTGCCCCGTTCACAAAATAATTGTAAAAAAGACTCAAACGTAATAGAGCGTGTAACTTTTTTTAATAATTACAGTGCTAGTTCGATCATAAACAGTTCTCAGTACGTCTATGTCATATTTACCCTGTCGCAAGACAGTTGGGGTTATGTTAAGACTGGGTAAAATTGCCTGATCACCCCGTGTGGACAACGTTTTCAAGCAGTTCAATCCCGTCCTTAGTCCGTTTATGTCTGTTCAGAACTAGGCCTATCTCACTCTTAATGAGCACAACCCCATTTTAACTCGTTCTTACTCGACCAACTGGTTTTCAGGCAGTTCTTCCCGGTCGCACTACATTCTCACTCCATTCCTAGTGCGTGCAATCGTAATAGCAATCACATTTCTATAAGTACCCAGCACGTTCTTGTCTGTTCTCATTCCCATTCTCAGTTTCTAGGTTGAAACATCGACATCACCATATGCATGGCTACCCAGAATTCATATTGCAAGGTGGCACAGGAATCTCCTGATGCGAGATGATGCAGAGTGATGGCGAGCTTCATCCCTGCTTCCAAAGCCTTTCTGTAATTGGTGTCTTCTATTTTAATGAAGTGGGTGATGCCTTCAAGACCTTCATGATCATCAAGGTTTAAGGCAGTTCCTCACCCAACAAGTTCTTGTTCTTTTCCTCCTTTCTTGCGCAACCAACTTATTGTACTCTTGCTCTGCTTTCAATAAAAATTGCTGGAAACCAGCATTCAGCACATTGACAGCTGCAAACTTGTTCATGTTTCACAGGTAGAAATCTCTATCCCAAATGAAGAACGTGTTAAAAATGCATGGATTTATATCCTACCTTGTCATATCTGACTGTACACGGTGTTGACGCAGTACACGGTGCTGACGCAGTAAGAGCTGAGTGAAAACTGAGTGAAAACTACATAGACTTACTGAGAACTTTTAGAACCGAGTAGAACGTAATACGAACATCTTCAGAATAATTCATTTTGTTTTGAACATATTTGAACAGAATAGCAACAAACTGCATAATGTGGTCAAGTTAGGTCTGTCTGCGAACAGGTGGACGTGGTGGAAACTGTGTACAAACGTATTGCAATTGATGCCCTACTGCACTATGTCCGCACACATTCCCAGTAAGATTGAAGTGCGGAAATTCCGTTCGTAGTACAGCAATCTCGTTTTAGGCATGTTGTCACTTCGTCCCTTTTTAGAACAGGTAGAACGTTACACATGTGCAACATTCTGGAGCACCCTTCCGTTCCTAGTCCGACCGAGCCCGTAGATAAAGTTCTTAAACAGACTGTAAATAGGCGCCACTATGCCCACTTCATTCGCACATAGTTTGAGCCCGATCCAACCATTTTTCAAGAACGTACTGAGAACGAGTTCGGTGTGATGGGGGTACTAGTCCAAGGGCGGTGGGGTAGCGTAGTGGTTAAAGCATTCACTCGTCACGCCGAAGACCCGGGTTCAATTCCCCGCATGGGTACAGTGTGTGAAACCCATTTCTGATTAGGGATGGACATTGCAGAGAATTTTCATATTGCGTTATGTTGCAATGCAAAAGAAGATATTGCGATATGTATTGCAATATATTGCAAGAATTTTCTTTTAACAAAAAACTACTTGTAATCGAAGTAATGCCTGATTTATAAAGCAAATATACAACATAATCACTATGCTTGATTAAGCTTTAATAAAAACTTTTAATCATGACAAAATAACAATGTAAATAATATTTGGCACAAATGAAACAAGGAAAAGAACAATTTAAAAAGACAGAAATATCCGAAGGTTTCTGAGTGTTACAAAGCTTTCTGAATGCATGTCAAAATAGCTTTTTTTATCAGCATATCGCAATATGTATCGTTTTCATGTCCGAACCGGTAAATACCGGTAAACCAGTTATACTGCACTGCCCTATTTCTGATGTCCCTTGCCGTGATATTGCTGGAATATTACTGAAAGCAGCGGAAAACCATACTTACTCACTCACTGTAATTGCAAGACTGGTGAAGCATGACCTTGACATGTACGTTTCTTCTAACTAAGACTCTCGGTACTTGGTAATTTATACTGTTGCTAGGTGACCAGTGGTCAGGCTCAATGACTTGTTTGATTGCAAGTGAGCTTGGTTGGGTAGCGTAGTGATTAAAACAATCACTCATCACATGGGTACAATGTGTGCGGCCCATTCCTGGTGTCCCCCGCCATGATATTGCTGGAATATTGCTGAAAGTGACATAAAACCATACTCGCCCACACTTTGCAGCCAAAGCTTTAACCACTAGGCTACACCACCACCCTGCATGTTATCAGACGCCTACAAGCATGGATCGTTGCTTGAGTAACAATCACTTAATGGTCTGGTCCATCCTTTCTTATTTACCAACTACTGAGAAACAGATGGAATTCTTATTATTATGATATCAAAGAACAAAACAAATGCACAACAATTGTATCACGTTATGTTCAAATCAAATCATTTTTGACTTTATGGATTTCTTTTTTTTTCATATGTACTTTGTCAGAAATGATTGGAACATGAGTGAGTTAGCGAGTGAGTTTCGTTTTATGCTTTTTGCAATATTCCAGCAATATCAGAGGGACACCAGAAATAGGTTTCACACATTGTACCAATGTGGAATCGAACCCGGGTCGTTGGCGTGGCTAGTGAATGCTTTAACTACTAGGCTACCCTGCTGCCCCTATTGGAATATGAATGCTGACAGTTTCTGATATTATGTTTGCCACAAAAGTGATGATAGTATGATGCATCCCAACTGGTAATTTCCAAGTGGTACTTAAAATAATGAAATCTGTTTGTGATCAGATACAGTGTCACACTTAACCTGTTCCCTGTGAATCTGTAGGACTTATTTTGCCTGTTTCAGGATGTATATGCTACACGCACTACAGTGACCCTGACGTTGACCCTGAGGACCATGCCCCAGTAGGCATTGTCACAGCTTCTCGTAGACAGGATAGGTGAGTTGATGTGGTGAATATTCGTGAATTGCATCTTAGTGATGATCTTTTCATGCTGTTGATCACTGGATTGTCTGGTCCAGACTCGATTATTTACAAACTGCCGTCATATAGCTGGAATATTGCTGAGTGCGGCGTAAAACTAAACTCACTCACTCACTAGTAATGATCTTTATTTTTGAAGGTTATCTCTCACTCACCTTTTTGTGTAAGCCGTGGTGGCTGAGCGGTCTAGGCGTCTGACTTTGAGTGCTGGCAATTAGGTGCCTGACTCTGAGGGTGTGGGTTCGAATCTTGGGTGGGACTCAACCCAAAAAGTACTAGAATCTGTACTTTAAGGGGAAAGTGTAATCCCAAATATAACATATGTTACGTTTGACCACTTTCTAAAATGGCATTGTGTATTTCATTACTGAGTTATACATGCGTCCTTTTGGGATGGCGATGGATTGTTTGTGTTGATGTTGCAGAGCTACACAACCATGTGGTGTCCCCTTACCATGACATCAAGATGACCGGTCACCTGACATGGGCTGGAACGTCTTCTATGGAGGCCACTATGAACCTCGAGCAGGTGGGTACAAAATGGCGGACTAGTATAGTGATAGAGCAGGTTAACTTCTTTGAGAGGCATTTTAGAAGTTGGGAAGTACAATATTGAACAAACTTTATGGATAACAACTTCTTTTATTTTGTGAGTGTGACATTTCGATACAGAAAAAAAATGTTGTTATCCATAAAGTATGTTTATTGATGTAGCAGACTGTTGCACCATGGCAGACTATTTGGACATGTACAAATATGCTTCAAATCTGTATGGGGACAGCTCTTACTGATAATGTATCGTAATTGGTAATACTGACAGCTTCATTCTGCATGTTTGTTATTTTTCACAGGAAATAAACGACACATGGCAGAAGATACTCAGTGCCAGGTTCATAATGGTTGCAAGAGACCCAGTCACAAACAGGTAGGTACAAAACTAAACAAGTAGGTGCAGGTACTATGCTCAACAGGTAAGTAATGTTTGAAAGTAGCATTCTCAAGGTTATATCGAGGGGTATCAGTTACAGTGTGAGAGGAAACCAACATTTACCTCTATTGTGAGAAATCAGCATGGATATAGAGCGGACCACAGCTGGATCAGTTACTGGGATTGGAAACCCAGAATGTGATTCAGACTGGAAAGTGAATCATGCCACCGTTACTGCATTTGTGCTGGAGCACGTTCAGAATACAGCACCACAACTTCTTGTGTGCAATGATCTCTGTCGTAGGTCTCGCAACCAGATTTTACAGAATTGATCGGATGTGAACTTGCAACCTTGGGATTGTCCGCCTGACAGCTAACTGACTCGGGCACATCCACACTACTACACTAAGTACATCTAGTAATGCCTAAGACTTTATGGAAATGAATCTAAAGGGTTGAATAGGGCAATTACAAAGGTAACGGATAAACATGGTGTCACGTGACATTTGTCAGTGGACACTTACAAGTCACCCTGATGCCATATGGCACACTTGGCCCATCTGTAATCCACATGATACCAAGCGGTGTGGAGCAAGCTGATATGGCGTGAACTGAAAACAGCTACAGACATCAGGTATCAGAATGACATGGTTTTCAGTAATTCCACAAGTGATTTTGTGATGGAAAAGTAGGTTGAAAAATATTGTAGGGAACATTGTGAGTCCCATGCTGGGAATAGAACTATGGACCAACCAAGCCTTGTCCATATGACAAAGGAGGGCAACCCAGCAACAAGTTGACAAGGTAAGGATGTCCTCCGTGGGATAGCTCCACAACATGCTACATGAGGATAATGTGGATCATTGTAAGGAACGTGGAAGGCTTAGCTTTCAAATCATTACTGAACAAATGTTGTGGTTAAGTGGACATCAAATCGCATGACTTTTGTTCTGCTGATTGACTGTGAACCACAATGTTACTGAGGTCTTGCTGTTATGTGCATCACTTGAGGTCTTTGGTCAGTGATACAGCTGCTGTTCCAGGGCTGCTGTTGTCAACCGCCTTGTTCCAAATGGCCCGGAGGAGGAGGCTTTGTTCAGGAAGGGAGAAGGTGAGTGAGGGGTTACATTGGCAGGGTATATTAGAAGGTTGCTATTGTGGGGTACATTAGAAGGGTCCTTGGTGGGGTACATTAGAAGGGTACATTGGGTACATTAGAAGGGTACATTTGTGGGGTACATTAGAAGGGTACATTGGTGGGGTACATTAGCAAGGTACAGTGGCTGGGTACATTAGAAGGGTGCTATGGAGGGGTACATTGGCAGGGTACATTTGGGTACTGTATTAGCGGCCTACGGGAGGATGACCTACAGTGAAGGGTCTACAGTCTTGGACTACATTGTGAGGTCTACATTTTAGTGGCCTACAGTTGTAACCTACAATGATTACAGCCAGTGGTTACATAAAGTGGTAGGCCTATTGTTTTGGCTCACAGTAGTCCTCCGTGGTCTGCTGTAGTGGTCGACATAGAGTCGACATTGGTGAGCCTACTCTGGCTGTGCCTATAGTATTCAGCCTACATTGGCGAGCCTACTCTGGTGAGCTGGCTGTGCCTATACTATTCAGCCTACATTGGTGAGCCTACTCTGGCTGTGCCTATACTATTCAGCCCACATTGGTCAGCCTACTCTGGCTGTGCCTATACTATTCAGCCTACATTGGTGAGCCTACACGGGTGAGCTGTCTGTTTCTATACTATTTAGCCTACATTGGTGGGCCTACTCTGGCTGTACCTATACTATTCAGCCTACATTGGTGAGCCTACACTGGTGAGCTGGCTGTGCCTATACTATTCAGCCTACATTGGTGAGCCTACTCTGGCTGTGCCTATACTATTCAGCCTACATTGGTGAGCTGGCTGTGCCTATACTATTCAGCCTACATTGGTGAGCCTACACTGGTGAGCTGGCTGTGCCTATACTATTCAGCCTACATTGGTGAGCCTACACTGGTGAACTGGCTGTGCCTATACTATTCAGCCTACATTGGTGAGCCTACACTGGTTCATGGGTCATCCCACATAGGTTGGTCCACAGTGGTGGAACTAAACTGATCATCTGATAAATTTCCATCATGAATGTATGAGGTGTTAAGTCTAGCAAAATGTTACTTTGCTAATTGGTTTCTTGTTGTGTGATCCTTTGTGTTTACATGATTTCCATTCTCGCAGACAAAAATCTTTACGCTGCTTGCATGATATATATGTATAACTTCCTAAGTAACCATTTTGTCCTGTTTTAGTTCACACTGAACCTTGGCCTGAAACTCTGAAAGTATATTTTGCCAGTGGGCAGTGGGGTAGCCTAGTGGTTAAAGCGTTCGCTCGTCATGCAGATGACCCAGGTTCGATTCCCCACATGGGTACAATGTGTGAAGCCCATTTCTGGTGTCCACCGCTTTGATATTGCTGGAATATTGCTAAAAGAGGCATAAAATGAGACTCACTCACTCACTCTTCCAGCTAGCAAGCTGCTTCGTCAAGAGGAGGCCAAGAAGATCTTGCTGAAGACACCACCCAGTGAGGAAGAGAGTCTTATTGTTCATGACTTGTTTCTACATACTATTGACACTAAGTAAGTCTTTTCACACACTCACACAACAGATGCTTGTTTAATATTTGCTCTTAAATTGTAGAATTCTTGGGCCTGTGTGGCCCTGTGGTCAATGGATCCCCATTCTCTCTGTGCAAAGTGCCAAACAATTTCATATCTCACATTCACCCAGGGAGGCACTGGGCAGTGACCAACACTTGAGTAAATGGGTCTGGTGAGATGGACATTAGTCTTGTGGCATGGAGTTGTGTATCCAAACGGGGAGATAACTCACATCAGGGGGAATAACTCACATCAGGGGGAATAACTCATATGGTTTTTGTTGTTACTGTGCTCAGCATTAAGGGGATGAAACAAAGACTGGCTGCCTTGGTTCCGGCAAACTTTGTTTGTTTGTTTAATGCTGACCTTGGCAATATCCCAGCTATATTGTGTCAGTCTATAAATGATTGAATCTGGACCAAAATAATCCTGTCAATTATATCATAAGCGTGGATCACATGCCTCAAGCAAGTCGGTGTGCCTGACCACAAAATGCTGTTAGTTACCTCAGTATGGATTACTGAAGACCAGTTCTAACTCAGATCTTCAGGGGTGTTGTATACTATGTCTGAGAGGGGTATTTATGTTAAACTATTATACATCAGTGGGCATTCAGTATGAAACCGACACTGCTGCCAAAACAACTGAACTGGGAATGTTACCATTTCATTCTGAATGATTCCAAATGATCGTTTCATGTCTCACATGACGTAATAAACTAATAAGATTATTATTAAGTTGAATTAGTGTATGGACATGCAGGGGAATCATCTCACTTCTTCCATGTCCTTGACTTTTGTATGTTTTTCTACCTGTCAGAAAACATTATCATTACATATTTCAGTATTGACTGTTTACATGTTCCAGGGGAGGGACTTTCAAAGTTCGTGTCAAGCCCCCTGGTAGTGTCTGGATGGAGAAAAGTTTGCTGAAAAACATGATTATGTGCCATCCTGAGGTATGTCGAACTGATTCATGCACTAGGCTGTTGTGTTTGGGCGTTTGAATCAAACATGGAGCTGGTGTGTTTCAGCACCCTTGTTTTTCGCTGTTCCTGGCAATGTTTCATTTCACTCAAACTCAACAATTATTGAATCAGTTGCTTCACTGCATGTTCCAACATGTCGTTTAAAGTGCCCATTAAGCACACAAAAAAGTTTACCTTAGAGTGTAAATGACCTCACGTTTATGTTTATATAGCCTACTGGCTCGGGTGACACTGCTACAAACTAAGTACAAAGAGGTGTACATCAGACCGTATTACCCTCGAGAGAAGCATACAACTTATATTTGGGTGTTCCCATACTTTTTGTTGATAGTATATATATATAGATAAAACATGTTTAAAGTTTTTGAAAGACGTTTAGAAGTTGGATGAACATGAATACATGACAAGTTTTATGGATAACAAGTTCTTGTTTATTCTTTACACGATGTTTCAGAGCTAATTCTTGCTCCTTCATCCTTGCTTCCTTGCTCTGAAACGTTGTGTAAAGAATAAAAAAGAAGGTGTTATCCATAAAGTGTGTCATGTATTCAAAAGCATGTTTACACAACGCAAGGTGGGAGAATGTATAAATGTACTCATGTTCGTCGAACTTCTAAATGCCTTTCAAGAACTGAACTGATATATAGTACAACATGGGTAATTATCTTCATAATGCATGTCTTATTCTGGGTTATTATCTTGACTGATGATAATCATCTTCATTATTCATGATAATGTATGTTTCATAGGGTGAAACATGAAAAAAGATATACACAATAGGTACATTGAAACATTGTTTACACATAGTAATAACGTATATGAATGAAATATCCAGCTCACTTGTTTGACCCTAAATGAATGCTAAATGTTTCAGCAAAGGAACATCCACCACAAGATATTTGGAGGTTTCCTGATGAGACAGGCGATGGAGGTGGCGTGGACTACTGCAGCACTGTACAGGTCAGTGGATCACTCCATACTCTGTTTATTACACAGTGTTTTTGAAAGGGTGTATGGGACTGTAGGACCCTTGTAAATTTCCGGAACAGGAAATACGGAATTTACAAGGGTCTTACAGTCTCGTACACCCTTTCAAAACACTGTGTGACGAATTTATTACCCTTATGATATTTTTATTTAGGTTATCTTGAAAAAACCCAACATTCAATCTTTGGCAAAATGAGACTCAAACCGTGTCGCCATGATTTTTCCTGAACGGTCATAAAGGGAGATAACTCGAGATAACTTAGTTTATGATAAAAATGATTGAATTTGAGGTTTTGTAAAACGACAAGTAAAATACAGAAGCATATATAAAATACAAATAAGAATTTGTGGCAACAACTTTACTACTCTGTTTATACTCATAATTGTAACTCTAAAATTTCGAAGCAATCAGCCGTTTGCCAGCCACATTCCACCTAAGGTCAAGGTCATTTGTACAACCTGTGTAGTGTGTCATGTGACAGATTTGACGAGATGAACGGTTCGTACAACCTGTCAAATCCGCCTACATGGTTTGGTATGCTTTGACTTTTGACCAATCAGAAATCGGCAAATTTATCTTAAGGGTAATAATATGACATGTATAGTTGGGAGCCAGGTGATGTGTTGAGCCATTGAGTAATTGACTATTTAACCTTGGTTTGAGTAGGTCCCAGCAATCCATGACTGATCAAGAAACGACTGACTGATTTGGGTGGCCAGACTTGCGGACTTGGTTCATGCATGGCGTCAGTATACCAGCTGGTTGGATCAATGCTGCTGGTGTCAATCATTGACTGCCTTAAGGGAGAAAGTGATTATAAATATATGTTAAGATTTCCATTCCAGCTGCAATCGACCAGTGTTGAAGGTTGTCGATGATATTGTGTTCAAGAAACCAGTGGATATTGGTTCACTTCTCCTGCTGTCATCCCAGGTAAGGCCAGACCAGTTTTATTTCTTGTTTTACGGATTTTTGTCTTCAGAAAACCTAAAGGCAGGAGGGGAAAAAAAATCACCATTCAAAGCAAAAACCCACATGAGTTTCCATGTTAACTCTTTTGGTTTGTTTATATCATTTAAAAATAAGTTGAGTGAGTTTAGGTTTCACACTGATTTCAAGAGTATTTCACTTGTATCACATTAACATTAGGATTTTATTTTTTGAGCGGGGAAAATTAATTAATTTATTTATTTTTTATTCTTGAAAAATACGACCGGGAGATATGTAAAACAAGAAATAAAATATTGTTCTGGCCTAACGGAACTTTACCAGATTATTTGTCCCAAGTGAACTTGTTAAAATCAGTCAAATGTCTTTCCACAGGGATACAGAGTTACAGGTGGTACTTGGTTCTGTATACAGGCCACACATGTAGGAGAAGTTAGGCAGTATTGGTGAAACAGAGTAGATGAATAGCTGAGTACTTGGCGAGGTTGACTCCTGAGTTTCTAGAGCTTGTCCATCCTACAAACCCGTGAAGATCCGGGTTAGAATATTGATCTTCAGTGAGTGAGTAAGTGAGTGAGTGAGTTTAGTTTTACGCTGCGCTCAGCAATATTCCAGCTATATGGCAGCACCCCAGTTGTCCAGGCACCACAAACCTATCATGGGTTTGAATCACAGTTTGCCCTGTGCCGATTGTGTTTAGAGGTTTGTCATATCTTACCTGTGCTCATGGGTCCGCTGAAGTGGTTAAATTCGGGGACCTACGTTACATCAGGCTTTCCTCCCACATTAAGCAGACCCGCCACCATATACAGCCTGTTGTGTGGAAATACAGTCATCTCGACAGACTTTCAAAGTTCGTGTCAAGCTCTCTGGCAGTGTCTGAATGGAGAAAACTGTCTCTCTCTGTCTTGCAAATTTCTTCTATATTCATCGTAGTTTCCATTCTATTGAACCTCAGATAACTTGAAGAATTTGATTAGATCCCTATAACTTCGTCCAATAGTGTTTCACTGTAACTGGAATACTGTTGTAAGCATGATTTAACCCAACCTACTCACACTTACAAGGGAATAATATTATTGTCCATACAATTAGGGCGGTGGGGTGGCCTAATGGTTAAAGCGTTCACACACATCACGCTGAAGATCCAGGTTTGATTCACCACACGGGTACAGTGTGTGAAGCCCATTTCTGGTGTTCCGCGCAGTGATATTGCTGGAATATTACTAAAAGCAGCGTAAACCTAAACTCACTCACTCACTCTGTATACCATTGTTTGATGTACATTAAAATAAACCCCAAATCAATATAAAAAAAAGCCAACAACACTAAAAGTAGTCCTTAATTACATATTAGTGATGTCAATTTGTTGATGAAATATGACCTTTTGTCTCTGGCAGGTGGTGTACACTCACAAGTCCCTGATGCAGATTAAAGTTCATGCTGAGGTTTTAGATGTTGACACTGGAGTAAGGGAGACAACGAATGACTTTCATTTCACCTTTGACTCCCAGGATGAAAACCTGCCAAGAGTGATACCCAAATCCTATGCTGGTTCGTACAATATGATGATTTACTGAGGTGTATTAAGGAGTGAATAATTCTGACTTTTCAAGCTGAAATGCACCAAACTGTTTCTTATAAAAGAAAACATTTTATACTTCCATGCATCCAGGTTAGAATTGGCCTTAAGCAATTCATGCTTGTTGTAAGACTTGCTGACTTGGTTGACACATGTCATCGTGTCCCAATTGTGTAGATCGATGTTCATGCTGTTGATCACTGGATTGTCTGGTCCAGACACAATTATTTGCAGACCACCGCCATATAGCTGGAATATTGCTGAGTATAACGTTAAACAACCAATAAACAAACAAAAAAACAGTACATGTATGCATGCAACCTTGATGCTGATATGTGACCAGTTTTGTGTAATCTCGGAGTAGCCTATTTAGTAAATGTCCACGGAAGTATTGAATGAGGATGATGAAGATTGTCCTGCTCATTGAAGCACGTGTCACATATGGTGCTTCCATGGGAAGGAGATTCATGGTAATCTGCTTCTACTGTGTGTGTCTGGTCCAGGATGTTTACAGGACACTGACATCTGGTTAGGCTGAAATATATCATACATATAAATACTCCTATAGTTTCCTTCATTTATTTCAGAGTTCATGCTTTATCTTGATGGGAAAAGACATTTTGAAAGCTGATGAAACCGATTGACTTGAAATGACAGCTCCCAGACTAATGGTACTGTGAGCCGTGGAACATCAAGGATTTGCTTAAATTTCACTGTATAGTCACCATGAACTGTGGAGAACTCCCTCAACGCCTTCGTTCTTTGTTAAATCTATTTTCTGAAGCTGGACCTGAAACAGATGAAGATTTTCATTATGCTTTAAACAGTTTATCTGTGTCCACTGCTAAGTTCAACCACAGACAAGAGTCTCTAAATTTCCACATCGCATGGTAAACGTGTACTCAACCACAATTCAACTATATGATGCTATGTAATATGTATTTTGTAAAGGTAAAACAATCATGTGTTTTCTAAGGAAAACGATTGTGTTACATATGTAATCTGTCTATTCTTAGTGATCAGAAATATAGGTTTGCAAATCTTTTACTGATATCAAAATATTTGCAAAACATGGACTATAGAATTGAAGTATTAGTGATTGTATATGTCTTGTGAGAAACCTTCTCTTAATGCAGTAACTAGGGAAACAGTCTCTAAAGGGAAACAACTCTCAAAAACTTGGTGATCTAGCCAGTGCCATTTTAGCTTTCCAACATATTCACCGGATGCCGGTTACTGTCAGTGACTCAACAAACTGGATTTCGGACCAGTTACTGAGAATCTCGTTGTCAATAATATAAGGGGAATCTCTGTTAATGCTTGCAGATAATGCTGACTTAAATCTTTCACCTTACATGTTCGTATGTGGTTGTAAATGTGTAAATGTGCAATTATGTTCTTCAGTATGCAGCAGTTATATGTACATATTATGTTTGCATAGTACAATGATAAAGTTCAGTTATGATGCTCAAACAGCACCAACCCTTACTTTGGAGGCAAATTGCATATAACTACAGTAACAGTTGTGGTTTTTTTATTAAAAAAACCCGGATAGTAAATTGTAGATTTTGACGCAAACACTTGGAACAGATTGGGTTCTAATTCTTGTATGAGTTAGGATATGCAGTGTCCTGTATTATGATGGGAAGGCACCATGATTTCATAGCTGCAGGGTCAATACAGTGTCCACACAGGGTTCATACAGTGTCCACACAGGGTCCATACAGGGTCCATACAGTGTCCACACAGGGTCCATACAGTGTCCACACAGTGTCCATACAGCGTCCACACAGGGTCCATACAGTGTCCACACAGGGTCCATAGTCCATACAGTGTCCACACAGTGTCCATACAGTGTCCACACAGGGTCCATACAGTGTCCACACAGGGTCCACAAGTCACATTCAGTTCACTCGGGTGAGTCAGACTCGCTGGCTTGGTTGACACATGTCATCGGTTCCTAATTGCGCGAATCGATGCTCATGCTGTTGATCACTGGATTATAACTGATTCAGACTCGATTATTTACAGAGCCATATATATGGCTGGAATATTGCTGAGTATAAAAGTTAAACAACCAATAAACAAACAAACGGCACTACATGTATGCATTACAAACCTTGATGCTGATATGCTGACCTATTCAAGGCCTAGTCTAAGATCTCTTAAACATTATTACACTTTGAAGTAACCTGAAAATGTGCCAGTTACATGCATGCAGATTCTACTGGAAGGACATTTGTCAGTCACATTCAGTTCACCCCTGGACACTTTGTCTATACTAATAAACAGTTGAGTAGTATAATTGAAATATCAAAGACAATGAATTGGATAATCATTAAAAATACATTACAATGTTACTTGTTATTACCCTGCCTGGTGATGGGAGCAAACAAGAACTGGTCAGCTGGGACTGTACAGGGTAAACAAGAACTGGTCAGCTGGGACTGTACAGGGTAAACAAGAACTGGTCAGCTGGGACTGTACAGGGTTCCAAGAACTGGTCAGCTGGGACTGTACAGGGTTTCCAAGAACTGGTCAGCTGGGACTGTACAGGGTAAACAAGAACTGGTCAGCTGGGACTGTACAGGGTTCCAAGAACTGGTCAGCTGGGACTGTACAGGGTAAACAAGAACTGGTCAGCTGGGACTGTACAGGGTTCCAAGAACTGGTCAGCTGGGACTGTACAGGGTTCCAAGAACTGGTCAGCTGGGACTGTACAGGGTTCCAAGAACTGGTCAGCTGGGACTGTACAGGGTTCCAAGAACTGGTCAGCTGGGACTGTAGAGGGTACACAAGAACTGGTCAGCTGGGACTGTTCATGATTCCATGTCAGAATGTGGCATGGTATCTTGGTGAACTAGAGATGAGTACAAGAACAATATACATGCTCTGTCATGCTGTTTACGGGGTAGAATAGGTCTTCAGCAACCCAAGCTTGCCGTACAAGGCGACTATGCTTGTCGTAAGAGGCGACTAACGGGATCGGGTGGTCAGGCTCGCTGACTTGGTTGACACATGTCATCGGTTCCCAAATGCGCAGATCGATGCTCATGCTGTTGATCACTGGATTGTCTGGTCCAGACTCGATTATTTACAGACCGCCGCCATATAACTGGAATATTGCTGAGTGCGGCGTAAAACTAAACTCACTCACTCACTTCATGCTGTTTACACATGTGCACATGCATGCAATAAAAAACTCTTGTACTTTGAGATGTTTTGAGCTGCTTGGCAATATTTGACAGAGTGTACTGAACTTCCGCGTGTATGTATTGTGGATATTTAAAGCTACTACACATCCAAGTAAGCTACAGTTTCCTGGCGCTATGTTGAATTTTATTTGAAGTCTTATGGAAGTGACATCATACTTTTTGTATCCAGTATCTTCAGTTTGACACTCATGATTTGTGTCACTTTGATTGCATGTTACTATGGAGATCAACAGGTCCAGGAATTATTTATGGCCAGAGAATAGAAATATAATACACAGGATAATAAAACACTAGTATGGTAGAAATGAATGCATAGTATTTGTTTTTGCATAATACGTAAATGTGTTTAGTTTGCCATAATATACTCATTATTGCCTTTAAAGGATATTTATGCTTTCAAATAAAACATATATTTGAAATTTGTTTTGTCCATTTAGTGTGAAGCATGACTGAGTTAGTGTGTATGGTTTTAACAATATTCCATCGATATGACCGTGGGGACAACAGAAATGCGCTTCACACATTGCAGTCATGTGGGGAACTGAATCCGGCCTTTGGTGTGATGAGCAAACGGTTTAACCACTCGGCTACCCCACCACCCCTGACCACTCGGCTACCCCCACCACCCCTGACCACCCGGCTACCCCACCACCCTGACCACTCAGCTACCCCACCACCCCTGTGAAGTATGTGCCTGTCACGGTGATGGTCAAGGTCTCAATCCACACATTGGTATATATCTCAAATGCAGGCAGGTAGCCATTTGTGTCAGATGTGACTGAGAATCAGATCCTTACTTGAAAAGGTATTTTGTTTCAACCTCTATCTGCTGCCCATCTTGACTGAGGCCAAATAAAGCGTCATGGCAATCTGTCAGTAAGCATGGCTGTCACATTTTCTCACATTTTCAACTTTTTTTTTTTAGTATGTGTTCTTGGACATAAAGAATTCCTATACCTCAAAGCATGTTTGAGACACTTGATTCTCATCTTGAGAGACAGTCTTCTCATATGACCCGTCTGCCAGAGAGATACCCGTGTAGGTCCTCGTTAGAATTGATCTTCAGTAACCCATGCTTGTCGTAAGAGGTGACTAGCCAGATTGGTTGGTCAGGCTCGCTGACTTAGTTGACATATGTCATCGGTTCCCAGTTGCGCAGATCGATGCTCATGCTGTTGATCATCGGATTGTCTGGTCCAGACTCAATTCTTTACAGACTGCCCCATTTCTGAGCACAGGCCCTCGTGTCATTGCGAGGATTAAACCTTAAACCTGTTTTGGAGATGACCCCCGACTCAAAATGCTTCACAGTACAATACATAATGACTGGTACTGCGAAGTATTTCTAGTCAGGGTCATCTCAATTTTAAATATATTTTTTAAATCTTTAATCCGCGCAAAGACACGAGGGCCTGTGTTTCTGATGTCCCCGCCGTGATATTGCTGGAATATTGCTAAAGGCGGCGGAAAACTAAACCCACTCACTCACCCAAGTGGGATATCCATGTTCTCCATGTGCTTGTGCTAGAAAACAAGCGTCAGGTTGGACTAGTACAAACAGCGACACACCCTTGCACATCACTGTGTAAAGGGACAGATACGTGAACAGACACTGTGCCCAATTCATCTATTCCTCGTAGAAGCCACGATGCGCAGCCAACTGAAACTTTATGTATGCTAACAGTCTGGAATATTATCAGTGTTGTTCAATCTGTGCATAGAGCTGATCCAGAAATTTTCAAAGGAGGGGTGGGGGTGGGGGTGTGTGTCGGGGGGCTTAGAACCCCTGAGACCCCACCTTGGCTCCCCATTGCACAAAACATTAACTTCAATGTGGTCTTTGAGTCATTTTCAAAGGGTGGGGTTCTCCCCCTCCCCCCTCCCCTCCCCTCCCCCTCCCTTTTCTGGATCCGCCACTGCTGCGTGTCAGGAAACAACAAGTGTAGAAGTGAGCGCAGCTCACCTAACCCCACTTCCCACTTTGGGACATGGAAATGACTGATATTGATATATATAATGTGACAAGGGATCAGCAGGCTCCGTGGAAACCCATTCTCTTCCCACAGAGGTTACTTGTCATATCTTCCTACGTAGGAAGATATGACTGGAGTAACCTCTGTGGGAAAATAATGAGCAAGCTCTGACATACAATTGAACTTGTTGCACTTCGAAACCGTTCGATCAGCTGTTTTCGAGTTTACTATGTACAGATCTATTTTGACTTTCACTGCTTTATTTAAACTATTTTATAAATTGAGTTTGCACACTCAACTTAAACATAATTAACCATTTTTATAGCAGTTTTAAGCTTGTCAGAATATGTTTCACTGATTATAAAAATCCAGTCGAGAGGTAGACGCCATTTTGTTTACATGTCATACAGTCGGTAGCGATCTTTTAAAATACAAGTAAACTAAAATGATATGTTGTACATTTAACATGGCGGTAAGATAAATACTTTGTATGCTTTTACCCTCGGGTAATACGGTCTGATGTACGCCTCTTTGTAGCGGTGTCATCCCTCGCCTACTGGCCTACTGGCTCGGGTGACACTACTACAAAGAGGCGTACATCAGACTGTATTACCCTCGAGAGAAGCATACAACTTATAGAACTAGTGCAGAAGCTGCCGTGCCTGTCAAATAGGAAACTACTCTGTGAGACGTGGGTCATACCAGTTTGCATGAGGACAGAATAACTAGTACTCATAATGTTAACAATCCCCGTAGTGGAGGATGCGCTAATTTTATTATACCTGATGCGTATTTTAATAGATCACATATCACCGAGTACACCTTTGAAGATAATGCGGCAGAAATGTATTATTGTGATAAAGAATAAAAATCATAGTTATTAATGTAACAACAGTGGAAAACAAAGTGTGAAAAAGGTGAACCCTCTAATGGTCCACATATTTGTGGTGATTTCAACAGTCATAATGAATTGTGGGCAGTGATAAATCAGACTGCGATGGATCAGTTGTTTAAGCATTTTGAGATGATAAGGAATTGGTTGTCCTGAATAACGAGAAAAAAGGACCAGACTGGATCCTGGTAGAGGGCCATTTTCTCCTTCAGATCTAGCTATGGTTACTCATCATATATGTGTAACTGGAATATTTTCCAAGATGATGAGGTAACACTTAAAGGTTTTCTGGGGCGGTGGGGTAGCCTAGTGGTTAAACCGTTCACTCTTCACGTCGAAGACCCGGGTTCGATTCCCCACATGGGCACAATGTGTGACGTCATTCCATAATCATATCTATACTAAAGCAAGCACTCATCTACAAACATCATTTGGGCCAATTTCTTTTAAATACTCTTCAAAAACAAGAAGAAACTTGACATAGGAACAATTTGAATTTTAGGAAAATATTTGACACAAACGAATCCATGCTGAATCCCAACATGTGGAGGAATGGTTGCCGACGACAAAAGCATTTAAAAAAAGAAACGTTGAACAAAAACGTAACGTTACACTCACGTTTGAAGTGAATCGCTAAAACGCACCCTGCATGGAATGCACGTGCGTCATGAAATTGTGTATCACCCCAAGCTGAAGCCGATGACTGTAGATTTTTAAAAGCCCCATCAACGGTATTCCACATGCAATGCTTTAAGCCACAATAGACGACAAAAGAATGCGAAGACATACAGAAGCTCAGCGACACAACGTCATCGGCCGTTTACAAGGAGGGACATCACAGCATGAGGTGGCAAGGCACTTCCGCGTGTCCGGGCAGACCATCTCAAACCTATTGACCCTACACAACAATACTGGGAGTGTTAATGACCTACCAGGTCAGGTCGACCTTAAGTTACCACTGCCGCCATGGATCGCTACATCCGGTTGAGACATCTTCGTTCACGCACCACGACCGCAACATCCACAACAACCCAAATCCCTGGACTGCGCCGAATCTCCGACCAGCTAGTGCGCAATCGTCTACAGGAAACCGGATTTTTTGCCAGAAGACCAGTCCGACGTAACGTCTTGACACAACATTATCGGGCTGCACGTCTACAAGACAACGAGTGAGATGCATGGCCGCGGCCAAGATGGAGGACAATTTTGTTCTCAGATGAGTCTCGGTTTCTTCTCAGACGTGCTGATGGACGTTCACGTGTACACAGACGTCGGAACGAACGTTACGCAGATAATTGTGTACAGCAGGTCGATAGATTTGATGGTGAAAGTGTCATGGTGTGGGACACCTTTTGTGCACGTGGCAGGTGCATTGAATGGGGTTCGCCATAGAGACGAGCTTATGCAACGTCGCCGTTCCCTTCATCAGCGTCAACGGTGGGTATTTCCAGCATGGCAATGCTACGACCTGATGTCGCCGTGGGATACTCTTGATGGACGCTTGCGCCAGCGTAATCCGCCACTTCAGACACTACGAGAACTGCACGCAGCACTTCAGCACGGGTATCAAAACATTCCTCAAGACAGCATTCGGCATCTCCTTTCTTCTATGGGCAGCCGCTGCCAAGCTGTTATCGATGCTCACGGTGGTCACACCATGGATACTGATATTTTCCTCTGACCAAGTGGCTTTAATAGCCCTCTGTGGTTTTACCAAACACTTTCTGGATAATCATGTTTTGGAAATTTGTAAAGTGATGATTTTACTGTAATTGAGCATTGATGTCATGTTTGAATCAGTTATATGCACTCAGTAAATATACTCCAAAACAGCATGTCAGGTTCCTTTTTTTAAGAGTATATCTAATTTATCGAAAGAACAGTTACCAACTGCTTGTCTTATTTTCTTGAGAAAAACAATATCCTGTCCAAAATTCAATAAGGGTTTTGACAATGCAAGTAAGACTACAGACAAAAGCTCAGAAAGCAATTGGCAATTAGGAGTGTCTGTTGTGTGTATTTCGTGATATTCAAGAAATAAATGCCTGTGATATGGTTTGGGCGGTGTCCTCCCAAAAGTTAGACGTCCCAAAGGTTAGACGCGTTAAAACAACAAAGGTTATGGTTTTGGCGAGATGCTTTGCTTTTGAAATTACAAAAGCTTGGAATGAAAGGTAACATGTTTCGATGGATTAATTTATTTCGGAAAGGGACATTCAGGTTCGTAATGGGACAGAACTTTCCGGTAATGGTACTCCACAAGGAAATGTTATTAGACCAGTTTTGTTAATATCATGATCAACGACGTTTTCGTCGACCTTGATGTTGATGCTGATGCTGCTCAGTCTGTACATGGTGGTACACGGAGACAATTGGTTATGCCAGTTTGTTACAAAATCAATTTGTAAATGTTTAGGGCTAGTGTTGGTGTTCAAAATGGGGTTTAAAAATATCCCATTCAAAATCAGCAGCTGTGATGATCACTCGTCGGAAAATTCCTTCAAATATTGAGCTCTCCTTGTACGTTGTATATTGGTAACCATTACTTGGGTGTTGTATCAGAGAATTACGTGATCTTTGCAGCAGTTGTTACAGGGTCATTAATCTGTTGAGGTGTGTGCGTCCAAAACACAATTTGGAGCTGTTGTTACCATGCTATTGCCGCACTAAAGCACTAATCCTAGCTATCCTAACGAACGGTCAAATCAAACATACAAAATAAATAGATACATTGTATTTGAACTCATCAACATATGAGTATCCATGGAAACCACTCGGAAACTGATGCAGAATTGTTTGGTTGGTTTGTTGATTTACGCCGCACTCAGCAATATTACAGCTATATGGCGGCGGTTTGTAAATAATCGAGTCTGGACCAGACAATCCAGTGATCAAACAGCATGGTCATCTATCTACTTAATTGAGATCCGATTGGGATACGATGGGCCACGATGTGTGAACCAAGTCAGCGAATCTGACCACCCGATCCCGTTAGCCGCCTCTTATGATAAGCATGGGTTGCTGAACACCAATTCTAACCCGGTTCTTCACGGGTGCACAAAATGTATGAGTTAAAGAATTAAAACAAATTAAACGTTCACAGCACAATACAGATGTATCTACACGGTAACTACGTAACAGTAAAGGCTTCAATAACGGTTTAAATTCCACATTCTGTTGCAGAGAACTCTGACGAAACATCATACAGTACTTTAAAAAAATATAAAATAAAATGTTCTGAGGACTCAAACGTTAACATAAGTGACAAAACAACCAAAAGAAACTATACAAATAAGAATTGTTTTATTTATGGCAGAGTCAATATCCTTCAATGAAGAAAGGAACATGTGGTATCCTAACTGAAGACCAGAACGGCGTTGTAAATATCCATTCTAGAGAGCTTCGCCAAAGGGGTAATTTGGGTGGGTCTTGAATCTGAAGTGAAGAGATGTATTTAATTAATTACATGATAACAATTGAAACCACATTTATAACATGTATTTCACGAATTGTAACGACCTTTTTAATGAGATATCTTGTTCTGCTTTTTAACCAACAACGGATATTATGGTGATTACATTGAAAATAATTAACTAAGCAAATGTCCTATGTTCATTATTTGGAAAAGGAAAATGTTAAACTTACTCCTGACCCTCGAAAAACCGCAGTTTCCTGTCCTGTGAGGCAAGCTTTGACATGTCACCGTGAGACAATTTGAAGTCGAATACCTTTGAAATTATATAAATATTCATGAAGTTGTATCATGAACACCATTGCAATACATAGTAGTAGTTAAGCCACTAGTAAGGAAAGCCACTATAAAGCCCCTGAATCACACTTGATGATACTGGGACATCATTTTTAGTTACTGTAAATAATAACAGCAATATGTAAACTCAACTGAATACACAATGCCATTTAGAAAGTTATCAAATGTAACATATGGTATATTTGGGATTACACGTTCCACGGTGGTGGAAGCCGCGCTGGCTGAGTGGGTTAGACGGCTGACTTTGTGTGCTGGAGCCTGACTCTGAGGGTGTGGGTTCGAATCCCGGATGGGACTCAACCCAACAAAAGTACTAGAATCTGTACTTTACTAAGACTGACTGACTGAGTATGGTTTTACGCCGCTTTTAGCAATATTCCAGCAATATCGCAGCAGGGGACACCAGAAATGGGCTTCACACATTGTACCCATGTGGGGAATCAAACCCGGGTCTTTGGCGTGATGAGCGAACGCTTTAACCACTAGGCTACCCCACCGCCCCACTTTACTAAGAAAGTGTTATCCCAAATATAACATATGTTACATAAACTTAGTTGTTACCACAGTATTGTTACACAAAGGATCACATTGATCATGTCTGACTTTTTTTAGCCCATAGTTGTTTTCATCTGAAAAAACGGGCCTGATTCTTAGTCACCGGTTCACTTCAGTCTGACTGTCGTTTCGTTTTCAGCAATAACAGAGGCTCATCATTCAGAAGTTGTAGGTGTGGGGAGGCTAATGGCAGCGTATGCTAAAACGTCTGTTGAATTCCAATTATCCAACACTTATTTTCTTTGTTGCAACATTATATAGGAAATTTACACGTCTTTAAAATACTCAAAGCTACAAATGATGAACACTACCTTTAAGTTTTCCTGGATTCTGCTAGGGTTGCTGCTCTTGGGGATAGCAATGATGCCTCTTTGGACAAGATAGCGAAGATGAATCTGCAAAATTAACACAGAAAATGAATTACATATAGAACGTCAGTGGAAAAGAATAACAACTCTCAACTGGGGGCGCGGTGGGCGAGCTGGCTAAGGCGCCAGGCTAGTGATCCAGCGAGGTTAAGGTGTCGGGATCGAGCCCACCTGTGACCGGGTGTAAAAACCTTGGAGTCAACTTTGTGTGCAGACTCTTTCAGTGTTGTCACAACCCTTAGTGTACAGTACACAACCCTGTGCACTTAAAAGAACCCACGAATCCGTTGGTATATGACCAGATAGTGTCCACATGAATACGTGCAAACACCTAGTTGCGGGTACAGCATCGTGCAGTAAACTTTGACAAAGTTCTTGGACTATGTGTCCCAGTCCACCCAGCTGTGAATGGGTACCTCGTTAGGATGGGAAAGCCACAATAACTCGGTGCGCCTAGTGACTGCAAGAGTTGTATACTCCCCAGGGAGTTGAGATTGATAATATGATGTGCAGTTGAGATTGACATCCAATGATCGAGGGGAAAATACCAGCGCCTTGAGCATGCACTAGTTGCCTGGATATGTGCGCTATATTAATATCCTATAACCAGCGCCTTGAGCATGCACTTGTTGCCTGGATATGTGCGCCATATAAATATCCTATAAAAACAAAATAATAACTATCCTCAGAAATTCCGTTTGGTTTGAAGGAAAAATAGCTATGGAAATTATATTAATGGAACACTAATTAGTGAACACCAGGTCACGCAATACGCACCTGTCAAAAGTATTCCGATCACAATGTAACATACCTGTCCTACAGATCGTTTGTATTTCGTGGCCAGATCCTTGGCAACTGGGTCATCTAGGACTCTGGGTGCTCCTTCCTTCTGTCTGAGTACAGAAAATGACACACAGACCATAAAATCAAACCCGCCACATAAATATACATGATGTAAAAGTAAATCATGAACATGATGATAAAAACGTAAAAGTTTATATCTGGCAGTGACTGTTGTTTTATTAGGTGTGTGTTTTTGTGTACAGAGCGCTGAGAAGTAAATTGACAGGTAAGTGAAGTATACTTCAAAAAAGAAACTTCACATTCTTTCATCAGGGCACTATAAAAGAACAAGAGATGGTAAGATGGTTAAATTGGTATTATTTCATTGCTGAGATCTGTGTGATGTACTCGATACACTGACAGTGCCATAATCAGTTCCATTAGGCTACACCGCCGTTCCAAAACATGGGTATACAGAATGTCAAGTCACAAGAATAAAAATGCGAAATTTCTCAGTTCAATATCGTGTATGGCCGCCCCGCGCATTCACCACTGCCAAACACCGTCTCCTCATCGACTGCCTGATGCTTGTGAACACGTGGTTGGGGATTCCGCGCCATTGCTCTTGCAAGGCAGCGCCAAGTTCCTGCAAATTCTGAGGTTGGTTCCTAAGACCACGAAGCCTTCTCCATAGTGCATCCCGAACGTGCTCTATTGGATTAAGGTCAGGGGACCTCGATGGCCAGTCCATGACGTTGATTCCAGCGTTTTGAAGGAAATTTCGTGTCAACATCGCGGTATGCGGCCGAGCATTATCATGCTGGAACTGTAGACCTGGGCCATGAGCCGCCATGAAAGGAACGAGTTCAGGGGTGAGCACCTGGTCGCGGTAAGCAGCAGCTGTGAGTGTTCCGCGGATGACCAGAAGTCGGGAACGGTTGTTCCCACAGAAAGCACCCCACACCATGCAACTACCGCCCCCGAATCTGTCGACTTCCTGTACACAACATTGGGCATACCGTTCACGACGTCGTCTCCAGACTCTATGCCTGCGGTCCGCGAATCTGAGGGTAAACCTGGATTCATCGCTAAAGATGACTCGATTCCAGTCTCTTTGGGTCCATCGGAGGTGACGTTGGGCCCACAGCAGACGTTGACGTTGATGAAACGGCGTCAATATTGGCCCACGATATGGACGTCGAGAATTGAGATTGGCAGCCCGCAACCGATTTCGAATGGTCTGTGAGGACAGTCGACCTCTAAACATCTCAGCCCTGGTTCGTGTAGCCGGCAGAAATCTGTCACGTAGGTGACGTAGGACGATTTGACGGTCTTCTGCTCGTGACGTCACACGTCACACGTCACGTTCACGTTGCACATTTGACAATCGTGGCATTTCAAGTACCGTTAGAACTGTGGTTTAAAAGTGTTTTTTCTAATTCTTGAGGCCAATGCAAACACGTGCATATGAAGAAAACTTCGATGCGAAGATCACGTGATCGACTGCACGTGCAAAACCTGATTTGGAACTAACGCCATTTGCACGAGGAATGGATGGGTTTGAGTGGGTTTTGCTAACGTTTTTCTAGAGTCGAAAGATAGGGATCCCATTTCGGATACATAGATGTATCATCAGGGAAAAATTATTCATTATTTTTCAAATAACATTTTGTGAAGTTTCTTTTTTGACTCAGTATATTTGATAACTGGGGTGGGGACAAGGATGGGCATGGAGAAGGTTGGGCATGATGGGCATGGAGAGTTAATGATCTGTTTTATGTTACATGTACTTCAAGGACATGCCTGTAGTCAATCTATTGCTCATGTTAAGACTCGAAGTGTTCATTTCCGTAATTAAGAAGATCACAAACTGTTAGTGGTATCGTATTACCTCACTACTGCTCTTTAACAAGAGTAAAATTTAATCAAAAGGTTATTGAAAAAATTCAATCATCACTTTCCACTTACCATGTATTGACGTGGGCTCTTAATTTGAGAATGTACCGATAAGCTCATTTCTTCAAAACGTATTGGATTATTTATTGTTTTTTAAAGGATGTTAGAATGTTGTTTAGTATCTATTCTTACATGTTAGCTGGTCGAGCTGGTGAACCGAAGGGACTGTAGGCTGTTATAGTTATCCCCCTTTCCTTGAGAAACCGAAACAACTTTTCTTGCTGGAGATACAAATGACACTCAACCTGCAAAAGTGGAAAAACTCCAGTAAGTTCTAATCTCTCTCTCGTCGGATATATGACTTTTTGTGGTTGAATACCTATTTAATGGTCCATTGTGTGTTAGTCGCTATAATGAAATTACATGACTTTCAACCCTGCAAAAAATGTGTTTGTTGTTTAACTCCGCACTCAGCAATTGTCAGCTAAATGATCGAGTTTGGACCAGACAATCCAGTGACTGTCATCATGAACATAGATTTACGCAACTGGGAAACATGCGTCAATAAAGTCAGCAAGTCTGACAACCTGATACCAGTAGTCGCCGCTTATGAACTGATCGACGTGCATTTAGAAGCTGGTGAGAAACATTATAGGTAAGACACGTTTAGAGATGATGACAGCCTTGATGGAGATTCTTGGGGAAGTTCTGGACACCCCCCTGGAGGTGCTCCTGAAGGTGCTTACGGAAGTCCCGATGATGCCTAACAGTCTTCACTTCACAGGAAAGGTGGAAGTGCCCACATTGTTTGAGGGAGTTTACTACATGATTCTAATAAGGTGCATCATAATATAATATAGAAGTTGCCATCCATAAAGGCATAAGATATAAAAAGCACAACTGCCCCAAGGACGCAACTCTAAACAGAATTATTTTTTTTTGTTAGTCGCCGATCCCATTGGTGGCCTGCTACCGACAGTTATGCGACTCATCAGGCGTCCGACCACTAAGTGAGTGAGTATGGTTTTACGCCGCTTTTAGCATATTCAAGCAATGTCCCACGGCGGGGGACACCAGAAATGGGCTTCACACATTGCCCCCATGTGGGGAATCTGACCTGGGTCTTCGCCGTGACGAGCGAACGCTTTAACCACTTGGCTACCCCACCGCTCCCCGACCACAGAGAGATTTTATAAGGTCTCATACTTAAAACAAAGGCAATACCTGGCTTAAGCTTAGAAATACCTTATACATGCGATACCCCTCGCTAATGAAACATTTACCTCCCAAGCCTAATATTAGAAAAGATATAAGAACAAATAACCAAATTTACAACAATACAAAAGTGTTACAAAACATGCCCTTTACCTGAACTGTGGCGGGTTTGATTGCAGCTGATTTGCATATCAGTTCAATCTGTTTCATGTTGAAATTTGAGACACCAATGGATTTAGCTTTGCCATCACGAACCACTTGTTCCATACCCTGTAAAAGACCATGAGACTATACACCTTGACACGTGGGAAACCATACAGGTTGTCGGCAATCGATTTGAAATGTATTCTGGCAATGACTCGACTGTGGGTACAAAATCAAATGGAGCATCATAAGAGAAAAACAATGCCATGTAAACATTGTACGACTCCTATTAAAGGCACTCCCGATATCCCTATACAACAACAAACAAACAAAACAAATACAAAACAATTAAAAGAACAATAGAAAACAAAACAAAAACAACCAAACATATATCCCCAAAATAATAAAGCCATAATAAAAACCCAAAACACCTAATTTCAGTATATAAACTAATTCTGACTAATTCTGTAATGATTTGATTTCCAAGATTAATCATATTTCATGCATCAAATTGGTGGAAGTAGTGTAGTCAATTTCACGGAACTATAGCAAGTTTTGAAGATTCACAAGGATGTTTGCACATTTCCTGCTACACCACAACACGTACAGTTACTGTTATAGTTTACTGTTGTCTTAGTTGTATTTGTCACCAGTATTTACCTTCCATGTTTCCAGCAGCGGTACTTCCGTGAAAGCAGGCTTGTTGTTCTCATCAATCGGGTAAAGACCCATCCTCTTGCCCGTTTCCTGTCCGGCAAAGGTACAGTCATGATCAGTGAGTGAGTGAGTTAAGTTTTACGCCGCATTCAGCAATAGTCCAGCTATATGGTGGCAGTCTGTAAATAATCGAGTCTGGACCAGACAATCCAGTGATCAACAGCATGAGCATCGATCTGCGCAATTGGGACACGATGACATGTGTCAACTAAGTCAGCGAGCCTGACCACCCGATCCCGTTAGTCGCCTCTTACGACAAGCATGGGTTATTGAAGGTTCATTCTAAACCGGACCTTCACGGGTACAGTCTTGGTGGAGACGATATGTCACTTAAGGAATTACAGACTACAAACAATATTTGAATTGTTTTAAAATTAACTGATTTCAGCCTTTGTCGAACTTATCAACAATTCATTGCAACCATAACAGAAGAATGTCTGAAAGTATATTTGTTACAGGCAAATATACACTTCAAACGCTATTTGAATTTTTTTTTTAAATAAATAATACTTTAATACAGACTTTGTCAAACCTATCAACAATTCATTGCAAAAAAAAACCCAGAAGAAAGTCGGGAAGTATATTTCATCTAAGCAATGATCTAACAAAAATAATCCATTGCAAGAAAAACAGTAAGAAGGAAATCTGAAACATGATACATATAGGCCGACTGATCAGCTTACTTTGGAATTGTGAAAATGCATACTTTTGCTTTTACTACTTTCTGAACTGCAAAGGCGGATCGATGTGTGTGTGTGTGTGTGTGTGTGTGTGTGTGTGTTTTGTGTGTTTTGTGTGTGTGTGTGTGTGTGTGTGTGTGCCCACCAACCCCCATTGAAACTCTCGTGAAAAAGGGGTAAAATGAAGTGTGTTCTCCCCCACCCCTTCCTTCCCCACCCCTTTCCTTCAGACAGCTGTATCCGCCCCTGATCTGTATCAACTTTGTGATGTATGTTGTACATGTAAGTATTCAACACTGACCCTCATGGAGACAGGGACGTGAATAAGATACATATCCACGTAATCCAGCTGTAGGTTCTTGAGGTTTTCGTCAATACACAGAGAAACACGGTCTTTCTCGTGGTAGGTCACCCAGAGCTGAAAGTACACATAAATCGTTATTTACACTTCCCGAAAGAGACAATTTGTTTAGAGATATTGTTTCTTTCTTTCTTTGTTTGCTATTTAAAGCCGAACGCAATATTCCAGCTATATGGCGGCGAACTGTAAATAATCGGATCTGGACCAGACAATACAGTGATCAACAGCATGAACATCGATCTAAGCAACCAAGTCAGCGATCTTGACCACCCCATCTCGTTAGTCGCCTCTTACGACAAGCATGGGTTGCTGAAGACAAGTTCTAACACGGGTCTTCACGGATCCTAGAGTTAGCACTTAGCGAGACCTCAGTACTTCCGGTGACAAACCACGTTTCATACCTTTTCGCATGGTATCGTGTGGTTGTCAGTTGACAGTAAGGAACCGATAATCCTTGCAGGAATAACAAATTTCCGATCTAACTATCCCCAAATTAGCCAACTATTACGACTGTCAACAGCTGTAACAGCCAAACTTGGTTGTACACTTGGTCCGGACTAGTAAAATAACATTTGGCGGTCGCGCAATTTGGAACCAGAACTGGTTCTTGAATCTACTCTTCTCACTACTCTCCTACCCAGAGTTCCATGCGGCTTGGGGGGGCGGTGGGGTAGCCTAGTGGTTTAGGCGTTGGCTCGTCACGCCGAAGACCCGGGTTCGAATCCCCACATGGGTACAATGTATGAAACCCATTTCTGGTGTCCCCCGCCGTGATGTTGCTGGAATATTGCTAAAAGCGGCGTAAAACCAAACTCAGTCAGTCAGTCAGTCCATGCGGCTTGGCTAGCATAGTTCATTATGAAAAGCGCACAGAAAAGCTTGCGGTCCGAAAAGAGAGATGTCCAGTCACGTGATATGCAAATTAGCCTGTGGCAGCGATGTTATGTGTCTTCTCACCGGAAGTAAGCTGGGCCCCGTCTCGCATATCGCAAGTTGGCGAGCGCAAAAAGGACCCGGGAACCAGCTTAGTACCGGAAGTAGCGCCTCGCGAGACCTACAGGCCCTATTGTCTCACTAGTAGCCGGGAAAGCTACATTACACGGGATTTTAACATGTTATCAATGAGCTGAAAGGGATGCCCGAAATGATTAAGGTCTTGGACATCTACTGGATGAGGTAAACGAGCAGAGGCAAGTACGGGTCAACCACGAATCATAACAGCCATCTCAGGTATCTTGTTAGTCTGTCCTACATTCCCTGAATCGCTTTATTTCCCAAGCCCTAGCCCTCCCTGCAATGCTAAATCCCTGAATTAAGCAAGTCTAGATTTCCCCAGATTCTGAATCTCGCATCTCACTTAGGCTCCTTTTCAATTTAAATGTGATGATTTGTTTCCATCAAAATTATATATATATTCAGAGACTAAGCGTTAGACTAATATCTGGCAGGCCTCAAGCCACTATGTCATTAATCACGACAGTGTCATTTTCTAGTACGTGGATCTCACTATTGAGTGCTCTTCTCATAGAGCATAGCATATACTCTCTAGGAGGTCATTTCACGCAGTTAAGCCCTTTATTAGAAACGGCTTTATGAGGCTCAACTTTAATTTTTGTCCTTGGAATATGTCATTTTGTGAACGAACATATATCTAACAGAAAACCGATTACAAAGCAACACGCATGGTCTCTGTTTTCAAACCGAGATTGTTTCAATATCGAAATATCATCTTACCTTCGTTGTAATAAAAATGTCCTCCCTCTTCAGCTTCCCGGCCTTGAAGTATTCCTGGAGCACCTCCCCGATGAAGGCCTCGTTCTGGTAGGCATAAGCTGTGTCAATGTGTGTGTAGCCAGCGTCCAGTGCAGCACGGATACTGTCCTTGCACTCCTCGGGAGAGGTAACCTGTAACGAATTTACAGGAATCAACAGTTTCGCAAATGACTGAAGCCAACCCAGTATGTTTTTGAAAGTACAAAACTTGTAAAATCTCATATCATTCACGAATATTTGTCAGATGTAATTCTCGTCTAATATGAATGTGTAGAAATTTCGTTATTGTAAAACTTCGATTCATTTCCAAGTACTTTATTTAGTCACTGTAGTCCCGACATATATCCAGTGAAACTATTACATGTTTATGCAATAGAACTTACACAAACAATTTTAAAAATTCCTATTTTTGATGTCTAACACATCTATATCTATATCAGTTGATTTCATATTTAGAGAGTGAGTTCAAATTTAAAGGTGTAAAAATGTACACAAGGCGTACTACTACGATACCTTAAAAACTACCATCGTAAGACCGCATCGTAACTAGCAACATATCACAATATAGTTTAAAATTAGTCGTAGAAAAGTAAAATAATTAGACAATAACTAACGAGTGACGGGGAATGACAGATTATCTTTTCCGAGTCATATTAACGTAATTCTCGAGCCTTGACGAATATTGTTCTTATTCTCGTGTACAAGAGAGTTTGAATGTAAAAAAGTGAATGAACTGAAAAGGTGAGTGAGTGAGTGAGTTAATAATTAACGTCACATCGGCAATATTTCAGCCATATCGTTACGAGAACATTTTACATTGAAATGGAATATGTGTATATTATAAAACCTGTCAGTAAAACAACTAGAATATCACAATTTGATTTAAAACTAGTGTGGAAGGTTAAAACTAATAGCACTATTAGGACAATACCAGATAAAAACAGGCTATAGATCACCAACAACTGAAGGTAGATCACCATACTAGGGACGAAAAGATGAATGAAATAGTTCCGGCATATTGTTTTTAACCAAAGAAATGGTTTATTTTCTGAACCAGCCAATCAACGTTCACCAAAAGGTGCAACCTCCCAAGACCCGCGACATTGCAAGCAACATATTGTCAATGTTGTTATCTACTCTGCATGTTGAGTTATGGAAAATCACGTCATTTTCATGTAGACGAAGGTACGTCATTCAACAGTGAAACTGGAAATTGATCTGCATATGAATTGATTGTTGGATTAGAGCTGTTGTTTGTTACCTTATTAAAAAAACACAATATATTTTAGCTTACATTATGAAGTTAATGTTCAATATAACTCCTTTAAGGCGTATAACATATTTTCAAACGACTATATAGATATAGTACAACCAGAAATTATTGAGAATTTAAAGATTGTAATTTTTTTCACTCATTACTCACGTATTAAATGTGAATATTAGTAGAACATAACTCCAGATTCAAAGACAGGTGAACAGTTTGTATTTTGTCAAGTCACCATGGGCAGCAATGCAGGCTTCAATGCGGCGGGGCATACTACTGATCAAAGAAGTTAGAAAGTCGTGGTCCATGCTGTCCCAATATCGGACCACCTCTTCTTTCATTTCAGCAATATTGTCAGATTTTTCTTATTGACACTTTCCTTCATAAGTCCCCAAACATTTTCGTTTGGATTTAGGTCAGGGCTATAGCTTGGTAAATCTAATAATGTCATATTTTGGGTCCGAAACCAGGCCTGTGAATGCTTTGAACGATGTTTTGGGTCGTTGTCCTGCTGGAAAATCCAAACAATTCCATAGAACACGTGAGCAGATGGAAGTAAATGTCCCTCGAGAATATCTGTGTACCGCTCACTGTTCATATTCCCTTCAAACACACAGAGGGGACTTGCCCCTAACACAGATATGCCACCCCACACGTTAAATTTAGGACTTTACCTTCGGCGCTGATACAAAGGTTTTTCAGTTTGTTTGGTCCAGAATTTCAGTGTATTAGGAAACAGCCACACAGAACTTTCATCTGAGAAAATCACATTGTCCCAGTTAAAATTTCTATGCTGTAAGCACCAGTTCAACCTTCGCTCCTTTTGTTCAGGTTTCATGATCGGTGATGGAATTCCTCGACTTTTCTGCCAACCCATTGCATGCAGCTCAGTTCTAATTGTCTCCTTACAGACAGCCACAGTTCCTCTATCAATCATATTCAGCCTTAAGGTTTCTAAACTCCTTCGTTTGTTTTTAGAAACAATAATACCAAGCCGCCTCCTGTCACCGACAGTGAATTTTCTAGGCCTACCTGCGCCTCCCTGCTGCTCAATGCTATATCCATTTGCAATATTTTTCAAAACACGATAAACAGTTGACAAAGGGATGCCTGTTCTACTTGAAATCACTTTAGCTGACCAACTTCCTTTTCTCTAAATCATCCATACTGAGGATCACTGAAAATGTCGTCTGCTAGCAAGTAAACAAAGGGGGATAACTCTTCACAAACTAATGAAAAAGGATTAACGGAGTTGTCTCTCTTGAATGAAACCAAGCACTTGATAGCTGGTCAAGGTTGATTATACTAGAAATCCAATTAAACATATTCCTAAAATTCTCAATAATTTCTGGTCATACTATACATATAAGGCATTCCTACAGCCGCTGAAAGTATTTACAACAAGCGCACCTTTGCAAAATTATGTTTCCTTTTTATAGGAACCTAATATTGAGTAATTATTCATTCATCTTGTGTGCTGATTTCGTGATATAGTTTGTGGTTAACATCGTAACCTCATGACACGTGTGTGTGTGTTTTGGGCTACGTGTACGTGTTGAGGTTGTAGTTGTCCAGCTATATGGAGGTGATTTGCAAATAATGACATCATTAGCATTGATCTACGCAACTGGGATACGATGACTTATGTCCACCCAGGCAGGTAGGCTACTGGTAACCCGGATCTTTACGGGTTGTTTTGCGCTAGTTCTCGCCATTACTGTGGGTTAAAATCTTTGCGCATTATTACAAATGTGGATATGTACCTGGGGCGGTGGGGTAGCCTAGTGGTTAAAGCGTTCGCTCGTCACGCCGAAGACCTGGGTTCGATTCCCTACATGGGTACAATGTGTGAGACCCATTTCTGATGTCCCCCGCCGTGATATTGCTGGAATATTGCTAAAAGCGGCGAAAAACCATACTCACTAACTCACTCCATCGATATGTACCTAGGGGCATCTTTCAGTAAAGCCAGATATATAACTACATGCATTTCTAGACACACGGTTTCTTGTTGTTCATTATTAATTGTCAATGTTTTATGAGTAATCTCTTTCAAAACTGCGATCCTACCCAGTGAGCTCTGTCACGTGCTTTGTACATTGAAGGTACGTTTTGAACTTAACAGTGTATGGAACATTTGAGACCAGTTGCCCTACTGTCCGAGATAATCGCAGCCTGCATTATGTGTTATATGCTACTGTGACACATTATCCTGTGTTGTTTGGTCAGTCAGCATTTACACTTACACATCCGTACATCGCCGAAAATACATCGATATAGCATATTAATGTGTAGCCGAGAACCAGATATTGTCCCGATGCACAACGCGTTCGTAACTTTACGACCTGTCGTAACTCTGTTGTTTATCATAGGCTTACGAATGACGTAGCGCTGCGGGGATTCCCTGTACAAAGCAACCTTAGCGCTACGACTGTCGTAAGTCTATGTTAAGGTATTGGAGATACGATCACCTAAGCGCTACGACTGTCGTAAGTCTATGTTAAGGTATTGGAGATACGATCACCTAAGCGCTACGACTGTCGTAAGTCTATGTTTAGGTACTGGAGTTACGGTCACCTAACGATCATACTATATGCATAAATAGACACAACTTACCTGCCATGAGCCGAGACCCACAAGAGGCATCTTATGACCACTGTTCAACGTCACTGTCTGTGCAGCCATTTTACGATTCTTGGTGAATGACGGAGTATACGGGTACGAGTCGTCTACCTTACTGATATCGAGATCGAATCCAGCTGTTTTTATATACAAATAAAATGTGCATTGTCATGATAGCTACGTGGCTAATCCCCTGCGTTCCGTGGTTGTGCAGTCACAGTACACCTCGACCGGGTTGGGCTGGCCACGTAATAGCATCATGATCAGCATGATGAAACAGCCCCCCCTCCCCAGCCCAGTGTTGACATTGTGGATACGAGCCAGATAGGCTGTCAAGCATATTTGTCAAACCCTTACACTGAATATGGACTATGGACTTTGACACAGATCTTGTGATGAATCAAATCTAAAATATAGATGTACTACCACTACTCTACTACAACTAGAGGTATTAAAGAGTTACTATACTAGTCTAATGCTAACACCCATGTTACTGCTGCTACTACTTCTACTATTACTACTACCACCACCATCACCAGCACTACTAATATTAATACCAGGGCCGTAGTTAACTAGTTAACATTTTACTTAATGGGGTGGGGGGTCGGGGTGGGGGCGCACTATCCACATTTGAGGCCTGGTAGCAGCCGAGGATCTGGAAGGGTTCGGTATTTTTTCTAAATTAGTTGCTCTCAGATGCCATTTCCTGCTTTCTGAAGGTATATTGGCTCCATTCACGTAATCTCCAATTTTGTATAAAACATTATTTTTTCCGGCTATGTTTGACCAATGTTTTCTATGTTTTTTAATTGCTGAGATCGATGCGCATGCTATTGATCACTGGATTGTCTGATCCAGACTCGATTATTTACAGACCGCCGCCATATAGCTGGAATATTGCTGAGTGCGGCGTAAAACTAAACTCACTCACTCACTCATGTTTTTTAAAAAAACGTTTCTTTGTTCAAAATTGTAGTATCTGTACATAATGTTCTGAACTAAACTTTATAAATATGTTTAGACATGCCTGTATATGTGCAAAACAACTGTTTTGTTCAGTTTAAATATTATGTACAAAAAATAATCCGTAAAACAATTCTTGGGGATGCAGCTGCTACTAACACTACTGCTGCTGCTACTACTACGTCTACTACGTCTACTACTACTACTTAGGGGTATATTAATAAAGTCATGTCTCAGTGCTAAGGTCAGGGACATCGCTGATGCCATCGGTTGATGTCAGCGTTCCCACTGTGTAAATCGAAAGTTTTGGTATCAATCCCCGATTGAGACTCCAGACGGAGACTCCGCTTCCATTTTATAGCTGGATAAATGCTGAGGGTGTGTGTGAAAAAGAAACAACAAACTACCACTACCACCACTACTACCACTACTACTACTACCACTTCCACTACCACTACCACGACCACGACTACGACTACTACTATAACTTATTAATCGCCGCGATATAGTTCGAATAGTTCTAAGTGCGGCATAAAACTAATCTCACTCTCTCACTACTACTTAAAGGCACAAAGCTTCCACCCTCAAGAGAGAAAATAACTTGAGGGGTTCAAAGGACCGGAGTCCCGACCGGAGCCAACGCATAACGTCAAATTGTCCTGAAAGTTTATTAAATCACAGCCTGGATTCATTTGGTCTCAGGTGAACCGGTGAACACAGCAACTATGGCTTGGTTAACGAGAGATCAACGACAACAAGCCATTGGACGTCTAGTGAGTGAGTGAGTTTTAGTTTTATGTCGCTTTTAGCAATATTTCAGCAATATCACGGCGGGGGACACCAGAAATAGGCTTCACACATTGTACCCATGTGGGGAATAGAACCCGGATCTTCAGCGTGACGAGCGAACCCTTTAACCACTGGGCTACCCCAACGCCCCATTGGACGTTTAGACTCTTGTCAACGTGCTCGAGTCATTGCTAATACTTATACTTGCACCATACGAACGATAGAAAATCGATATAACGCCACCAACAGCACTGATGGCCGTCCACGTAGTGGTCGACCCCGTGTAACAACACGTCGCCAGGACCGTCATATCGTCCATCAACACCTCTCGTTAACCTAGCCATAGCTGCTGTGTTCAGAAAACAAGTGAACGATTGCAATTCAAGCCGGCAATTTATGCCTGAATGCATGCATGATGCACGTGCATCTCGATTTCAATGTTGTGTTTGTGCGAACTCTTCCCTATCCACAAACAAAAACATTTTAAACCTCAATCTCAAACAGTACTTTATTGGGCAAAACAGGCCATACGACCACGATTAATGTTTCCCTCAATCTTGACTTCCGGTGTATATTTAAAAAAAGGCTAAAATACTCCATTGATACTTAAATGTCATTACCAATATTACGTTTCTTTTTGCCTTTCAGTGTATTTGAAACTGCCGGCCCGATACAATAACAACCGGCGCTGGGCCTCCGGGCCGGCGATTATTTCGAACGCTCGCGAATTTGTTTGCATGTTTTTCATAGAAACCAGGTTGGTGTGAGATTGAACTGATATGTCGTAAGAGCATGACTTGCTGAATTTAATCGTGATTCTAACCACAAAGGCAGGAATGGTACTAGTATATTAATAGACGCCCCAGTTTTCAGTGTCTGATGAAACAGCTCCCCCGCCTAGTGGCGGCATAGTCAGTACAAGCCAGACAACCCCAACATATTTGTAGAACACATATTTGAATATGGACTTTGGACTTTGGTACAGATCTAGAACGTGTGAGGAATCAAAATCTAACAAAATAATAAACCGCGCAAAGTATATGGATATTTGTCACTTTAAACGTGTGTGATATGCGTTGTTTTGTATTATTTTCCTTGTAAACATTCTAGTGCGTAATGCTAATCCAATTGACATGTTCTGTCACGCAATATGTTTCATTAACCCTTGTGTACCAACTTCTATTAACGTGCGCTATAGGTATAAGCCTTAGACTGACTTTCCAGAATTTCCCAAACAATCCCTATGTGCCTAGATGTAAAACAACACGTTCGTTTTAGAGATACCGATATAAGTTTTGTATATGCCAACTTTAGTTTCTCTAAACTGTTATAGCCTGTAATGATTGGGCGCTAGCAATGGGTAACTTAAGTTGAGTGGGTTTATTTGAAAAGATGAGTTTATTTGGGATATAGATTATATTGTCTCGGAGTGTATATCACCAATAAACTGGTGATGTCAGTTCTCTATTTATGTAACAGAACAGAATTGTATTTTCGTAAATCATACAGAATGATATAGAGAACATACAATCGTTTAAAATACATTAACATATGAGTAGATATTTTGATTTAGAAATGACTAAGAACAGTTTTAGCAAATAGTGATAGTTTCAATAGGAGTGGGGTATAATATGATTTCATAAGTAAGATAAATTTGTCCATATGTGGATTATTGCAAAATTAAGAGGGAAGTATCTTCTTACGTTCAGCATTAAGCTGTGGACATGATAAAATAACGTGATACTCGTCACAAATAATATTATGTTAAAAATCGTAATATTATGTTTTGACAAATTGTACATGTTCTGTTTTTGCTAGATTGATATTAAAATGTTTTTGTTTTTTGGAGAGGGCAAAAGTTCCATCGTCCACGTTTCAATGGGTAATCTATGATTAGAAGTTCAAATTTTGTTAACCAGATACGAAACTTTGATGGTAGAACTTCTCTGAAATTGATACTTAAATGTCATTTCCATAAGGTTCTAAAGTGAGTGAGGTTTTATATACATAATAATACATGTGAGGTTTTTTATTGATAATATTTTCTTTAGATGAATTTTGGGCATCGGCATACCATGATTGTTTGAACTGGCCAATTAATGAATGTTTGACATGATGTTTCCCAGTCGATGCTAGGGATCTTTTGAGATTGCCAAATGTAGGAGAGTCCGACATTTTAAAGAATATTTTGACTGCTTTTAGTTTGTCGAAATCAGCATTCTGGAGAGATGATCTAAATTTCATAATGTTAAAGAGAATGTGGGGAAATTTACTAGTTTCAGTTGTAACTTTACACCAGTGGCTAATGATTTTACTTTTATGTGAACATCAATAGGATATTGCTTTCACCATAAACCATGTTGTAGATTGTTTTACTTTAAGAATATATTTACAAAACTTTAAGTACGTTCTTTCCAAGATGATTGAATTTCATAGCCCCACACTTCCGAACTTTCAAGTAGGATTGGTAAGAAGCATTGGTCAAAAAGTTTTTTGTTGACAATCGATTGGTATTTCCGGGTAATTTTGAAGATGGAAAACATGGCTCTTGATGCTTGTTCCGAAAGTCTCTTAATTGCCTTTGAGAATTTACCATTAGCATTAAATAATATTCCCAAATATAGATATTCTCGAACAACTTTAATTTCATCATCAAAAATTACAAATTGTAAATTATTCCTAACATAGCCATTTGAAAATATCATGATCTTAGTTTTGTTAATGTTAACTTTGAGTTTCCATAAAACACAATATTCTGAGAATCTATCCAAATCTTCTGCGTTTTCCGCTTGTAGAACAGTATCATCTTCATACCGTAAAACCAGTAACTTAAATATACATACAAAGTTGTTCATCAATAAAGCTAATTACAATAGTAAGGCCTTGTACATTGTTTTCACACAGGAAGGATTCAAGATCCTTTATGTACAAAGCAAATAAAAACGGGGATAAATTCTCCCCCTGTTTAACACCAGTGTTACATGAAAATAGGGGTGACGTGACATTGTTAAGTTTGACACATGTTTTGATTTGCTGATACATGTTATGAATAACTATAAAACATTTATTTCATCCATCAACAACCATTTCTCCAAACACTGTCAAAGCTTTGCTAAAATCAACGAAGGCGCAGTATAATTTCTTATTAAGATTTTTGTATATGTCAATGAGTGATTTAAGTACGTAAACGTGATCTATAGTTGAAAAGGATTTACGGAAGCCTGCCAGTGATTTATTTGTCAATTCAATGGACTCTGAGTAATTTTGAAGCCTGTCCGAAATAATTGAGGTGAATAGTTTGCCCAAGCAGCTTACATTGGTAATGCCCCTGTAGTTATCAGGATTGGATGGGACCGCTTGCCTTTGAAAATATATAACCTGTTACCCAAGCTTCAGGTACTACATCATTGTTGACACAATTAAAAAGATTTGCGTATGCAGGCATCATTACACCAATCGAAGATTTAATGTACTCGTTAAAGACACAATCAAGCCCACAAGCCT